CGATTCGACAAGCGTCATTTCGGAGATGAGATTCGCTACCCCTTCAGCACTATCCCGAATGGATGGCAATGTATTCTAAATGCACCCGGCAGATTCTTTACGGTAGCGTCCACGTGTCAGATAATTAGACACACAGGATAAGATCACCGCCACCCTCCACCGTACGGTCATCCCGCGAGATCTGGCCGGAGTTATTCACTTTTCTAACCGTAAACAGATTGCATCTGCCATTTTCACGTAGTTTAGTTCTAGCTTTATTTTATTGCGCGCGATAGCTTCAAAAATAATATGTATTTCGTTTATTTTGAGCTGCGCGATACTCTTTTGGTATTTCCTTTTCATTAAATTTAATAATAAGCCGTGCTAAAAAAGCATTGAACTGAATCTTCCAATGGATGAAAACGTCGCATAATACAAACGGGAAACTGCAGAATAGTACATAGATAGTACATAGCAACACATCACTACATTGACGCGGAGAACAAGTGATATTACATGATCAGTAATATCTTAAGAGGAATCAAGTAATTGTAAATGCAAGAGACGTGATCTTACTAGAGATTAGTATTATATATTAAATAATAACATTCCCTTACTGTAAAAGTAACGCAACTCAAAAAATGTAACTTTCAAGTTATAATATTATCATAAAAATGAATTAGATATAAAGATTCCTCAATTAATCATCAAAAGTAAATTAACTTCACAATCCGTTCACCAAATAGCACTTGTGTCATTTTTGGGATTTTTAAGGAGATCGTTATACCTTCTATAAGAACAAGATATTTTTAGTTATTTTTATAAATAAAAAAGAAAGTTTTTCTATAGAGAAGAAAAAAAAATTTTTTCTATACAGAACATTTAAAGATAAGACAGTTTAGTGATCGAAGTTTGTTGAAGAAATTATTGTTTTATTTAGTCATTTTAGCTGATAAAAGTAAATATAGGTTGTGATATATTTCGAACGATGTTCCTTGATGAAATGAATTCTTCCGAATTTGTTATAATTTATAAGATATAAAAATCTCGTCACAAATCAAAAAGAGTATTTTTGATTAGACAATAATTTTCTGTTAAAAAGATAGTTTTTCCCTTTTTTTAAAAACCTCAATTTTTCTTAAGTTGTGTCACTTTTGAAGTAAGGGAATGATAAGGATGAGCACAGCAAAATATATGAAGACATATCGCCTCTCTATTCAATACGGACGTTGATGCGGACGATTACAGTGTATCTTCCCGTGAAAAATTTATATCTGCTTTTTTCTTTCTTCCTCTAAGCTACATGCATATTTTCGTCGTGTCGATTTTATGAAGCCCGACCGAAACATGCCCACTTCCCTGCCAATCGAAAACATATCATGGGAATACACGGTGGCCTCTACCTGCCGCTCCACACAGAAATGGCTAATTCATAACATGCTATTAATAACGTGCCGCTTTTAACACATCGTCGAAAAATGTCCCGTTTACCGTGGATATGTTGTGACAGTGCTTGGGGCCCGTTTTGGGGTCCGACGTTTGTTCGGCGCCCTTTTCTAAAAGGTACTCTGCGTTGCAGAGATACGCCGAAAGACGACGCGTCGTACTTTGACAAATGAGACGATATTAATCTCGGACGTTATACGCCACCAAAGTGTATGGGTATACTTCGCAAATCGTTGCCGCTGCGATTTCACTACTGTTACGCGCATGTCCAAATGCTGGTAATTAATTATACACTCACTCGCGACGTAGAGACTGGAACTCATATCACGCATCAACTGTACCGTGTTTTATTCGCGCTGTACGTTAATTAGGAGCAGTCAGACGCATTGCAATAAATTAAAGTTACTTTTGCATATGGAACAACCAAATTAAAGGAACTTTTACATATGGAACGAGCGAGCATTACACATGCTAAAAACATATTAAATGGCCTTCGTGTAAAAAAATTGGCTCGGGGAAACGTGATTTTCATAGGATTATGCGAATACGTTAAATTTTACAAAATATAACCCATTTTATTTTAAAAATATTTGTTGCATTAATACGGGTAAATTTCGAATTATTTCGTGTAATTCATTAATTATATGTATAAAAAGAATAAAAATGCTAAAAAATGTTATTCGCGTTCTCTATTTGTAAAAAAATCCTGGTATTGTAATCGATTGTATAATAAAAATGCAATTTTTTTAACCACAAGATACATCGATTGAGGACTATTTCGGCAAAAATCAATACCACAAATTATTGAAATGCAATTTCGAAAATCGATTATTCTTCATGTAGATGCTTATTGATATTATTGCGAAGCTTATTAATGATGCAAGTGAAATTAATGAGGCAGAAATTTAATTAAATTACAGTAACACCGACCGATTTATCTAATTTTAAAACACATGAATTCACGTGTAATTCAATTTTGAAGTTCTTATAGGTGTGTTGAGTTTTGATGTACAAAAATGATTTTTAAATGAAAGTAATCATTTTTAATTCTTTGAAATAGAATTTTAATTACCTGAATCACCTCAGACGGTTGATTTAAAAAAACATTGATAAATTAAAGTAAAAATACAGCAATTCGAAACTTGGAGAACTCCGAGACTCCCAAAACATGGGATCAAAATCGAGAGATAGAAAGAAAAAAAAAGAGAGAGAATATATAAAAGATAAGGCCGGCGGGAACGACAAAACAGGACGGAAATACGGGTTCGTGAAAGGCGGGGGCGACATCGGGAATTGAAAAATAGCGCCTTGGGCCGCTGTCGCTCACAGTGATGGCCCCGTGACAGCCAATGTAACGCACGAATTAACGAAATAATTGATTTTCATACCAGTTCGAAATAAGCGCGCCACGCGGCACACAAAAGATTCGGGCCGAATCGGCGGACGTCAAACGGAAAGAGATATTTTGCCGATTTCGGTGCATCGGGTGGTGGTGCATCACCACCGTCGTCGCGGTGGCGGAAAAAAATTGCGGCCAGCGTTTTTAAATTCCCGGTCCCGTCGACTCGCGGCCCGAGGCCAATTTAAATACACCGGTTTACATTGGTAAATTGGCATAGACTACCCGGCGACGCGCAGCAGAAAAAATCGGAAATTGTTCCGGCTTGTAGTGTAAATATTCGGTCCTGAGTAATGGTCGACGGCGATTCGTCTCTCCGAAAGGAAACTGATTGGGAAATCAAAACTGTAGTTTGAACGAGAAGGTAGCGGCACGACGGATCACGATAACTAGATAAAAAGAGCACGACTTAGATCAAAGTCAGATAATATGTTGGGGAATAATACATCTATATATTTTTTTAATAAATATTGATCTCAGATATATAGGTATGACTGAGCGTCGATTGTTTTCGGGCTTGTAACACAATCAAACTGAAATAATAATATAATCCCCCAAATTAAATAAAATCGTTGATTGGACGCGCTACGACTATATTAAAACCTGAAAAATTAAAGAACTTATTGCGAACCGGCGAAAATAAAAATTGTAAGTCGAATATGTATGTAAGAGGAGAGTGACAGAAACTTCGTTTACGTTTTTCACTATCTTCTTATATTCGACTTACGCGCTCCGATTTTTATCTAAAAACATCAAAATAATATTAAATTGAATCCTGACTGATTCAAAAATAACTTTTAATATACATTTGGAATAATTTTGACTTTATTTTGACGTCACCACATTATGATTTTTTATTCTGCTTGAATCTTTATGATATCATAAATGAATCATTACGATACTGAATAAATAATAATGCAAATGCATGAGAGAAGAGCAAATTATTAATTTTCCCTGACAAGACCATGAAGGCTTTATTCTATGTAGAACGAAGTTCATAAATAAATTCGTGGCTTGTCCGAAAAAGATCGACGCAAAATCCAGGCGAATTTGGGTCAAACGTCAAACCTCTGCTTCTCATAAATTTTATAGAAAGCAATATTTGACAATCATACACAATCCAAGTTCTGGTAGATTCTACAGAAAAGACTAGTAAAAGATCGCATTCATTATTCGTCTGAGGCGAGCCATACGCAAAAGAGAAAAGAAGAGACACGACTTTTCTTCAGACTTAACGTGTTATTGCTTCCATAATTGTACCTGTATCGAAAACGTAGAGCGACAAAGCGGTGCTCGCCCGTTGGATGGTGCGTTTGCGTAAGTTCTCGTGTCCCGTAACGTTAATGGGAAAAGCGAAAAACATTATTCGTAGCCGGGCAAGTATAATGTAAAGCGCGGCGCGCTCTGTGCGGATAGCGAGGAAGGGCGCGCCCGGCAGTGCGCGGTGCAGATGGAAGGAAAAGAGCGCGAGGAGAGAAAGAGAGGCAAAGACAGAGACGAGAGAGAGAGAGAGAGAGAGAGAGAGAGAGAGAGAGAGAACGCGTGGAGAGAGAACAGATTTATATTTGAAATTAGATTAAGCTTCTGCGCCTGAAAGCTATATAAACGCCCCTCCGCCTGCGTCTTCCTCCGCGCACAAATCCACCGCGCCGGAGAGAGACTCAATAAACCAACCACTCACTCTTTCCTCCTCTTTCCTGTCTACTCTGCCTCGTTCTCTGTTTTGCAAGCCCGCGAACGTACCTTCTCTCGTCGTCCTTTTCCTTCCAAAACGCGGCGCGCCTCGCTCGCTCAGCCCTCTCTCCTTCCGCATCTTTTCCCGCTTTTCCCGCGTCTCTGAATCCGCGTCTCACCCCTTCCTTATTTTTACATGTATCTAGTTTACTCCCGTAATCAGTCCTCGACGAGTCATTTCGCGCAATTCACTCTGAGGCAGAGAGGCTCAATAAACGGACTACATTATTCTCTTTTCTTCTTGGTATAAAGAGCAACCGTTTTACTCTTCCTCCCGCAAACTTCTTCCCGATCTTCTTGTTTCTCTCTTAACTCGCGACTTCGTCCCTCCTGCACGTTTAGGTTTTACTTTCCTCTCGCGACTTATTACCGAATAAACGGATTGAATATCAAGAATAATAACGTCACTGTAGTGTATTCAGCGTCACAAGATTTATTCGTGTAAGAACGTTCGCTAAACATCGCGTGCGTGCGGAATAACGTACAGGATTATGGTGTCACACAAAAGCAAACGTCTTAATATATGCATTAAGCTTCCTCACGCATCACTTTATAACTGTCGTAAAGAAATAGAAACGCATAAGGAAACGTCATAACTTTACTTGAATGCTTTCGCTTGTGGTACGACCGGTATTAGGCACTCGATGGGATCACAAGGGTGTCTGTAGTACACCGGCTCCCACGCCGTAACCATATCCTTGCGGTCCGAAATTACGAACGTAACATTCTGTGCAATTTATAGAGGAAACTCAGTTAACTTGGGCAATCTTAACTAGCCAAAGGTGATAATATTATTTAATCGACGAGACTCAAGCGGAAAGAGTGCAGGAAACACGAAACATAAAGAGATTCAAGAAGAGGTATTTGTCTTTCCCGAAAGTCTCTTTTTTCTATAATTTGATAATACCAACGTTTGCAGTAGATCTCGCCGCCGTTTTCCTGATAAGTCAACGGTTCCAGCGGCTTTCGGCAACAAAAGCAACTGAAGCAAATGTTGTGATACGGTACTCCGGAGGCAATCTTGGAAAGCAATACATTACACGTAAAAATGTATAATACTCCCCTCAAAATCTATTTCTGTTTTCTACTGTATATCGCAATTAAATGTTACAATAGAATTACATATTTCTTTTACTTCTTATACTTATATCTATTGAATGGATAATATTCAGATGTTTTTGTATGTGTGCGTCAATTCAAATATATTTTTGAACAATATAACTGTCGTAAATGATACGATCTCGATTTGGATGCCAACTCTTTAACAATATATGGTACTTACCTGCATCTCAGCCTGGTAGACCTTTCTTCCGCATCGCCGACAGTCAAGGCCGCCACCAAGACATTCACAGGGCAATCTCAGCCGACAGCAGGCTACGTCGGTACCGCATTTCGCTCCGTCATTGACGCTGCAGAATCCGTTACCTATGGTAGACAGACATCTCGGACTGTGCGACCTGCAACATAGATCAAAATCATTCTTATAACATAACCAGCTTATAAAACGCTTAATTCTTCATTTTTGTATTTTTTTTTTTCAATTTTGATCATCATCCAACTTACGGTTTAAGTTTTACGACATAAAAGTACTATAGAGTCAAGAAAAATTTAATTCTAAAAATTAGTTGGAAGAAAACTTTATGATCAAAAGGATATTCTGAGACAATTTATGAACAAGAATAGAACAAAGTCTGTATCGTACAATTTCGAACATGATGCAATTTTAAACGAAACAAGATTTAAATCAAATTTTGAGGTTTAGTAACCCTGATCATTGATTATGTGGAAGGTTAAAGAGTACCTCCAAATTTGAACTAAGAAAATTGATTTCAAATCTTCATTGTACCAGGTTCTAAATTGTGCCACTTTATTCTACAGAAGTCTACTCTCTAAAACTTTTAGAATAAATCTCACTTTAAAAAGTGAAATCTCATTCTTAAATATTGAAAATTGAGCCACCATTTTCAAGACTGGCTCAATTTTGATTCTTTAAGTTAAGTAAGATTCCACTACAAAAAAATTTGGAGAGCACGACCTGTACCTTCTACAATTGTTGGGTCCGCTGCAGAAGCCTCTGCAGCCACTGATTGAGCAAGATGACTGTGGTGGACAACGCGGAGCGCAAGGCGATCTCCCGCGTGAGGAATGAGCTGACGAGTTGCAGATCCTCAGCGATGATGTGCAGATCTGACCGGGTTTCCCGCAGGCGCCGCAACATCTACCACCGTCGCAACTTCGGATACTCGTTGTGCATGGAGGCGGCTCGCACCTGGCCGACTTCCTGCAGACTCGGGGACGACAACAACAGGAATGCGATGGCATAACGCACACTGTCTTGATTCTGTCCAGGCTAGGTGCGCATGATTCATTCGGTACGAGTCTTCCGCAACAGCAACCGTAACCCTGTGAACTCCTCCAGATGCTGCACCGCGTGGGAATGTTGTATTGTCAATCAGTATCTCGGTTTGCTTAAGAGAAGTCTTTATAATAATGTTCAACGCACAACATGTATGCTTGAATACTTATTTGAATACGGTCATTAATTCTCCAGAGCTGATGGTAGGTCTCTATTGGATTCATTCAATTATAAATTTTTTTTGTCAAAATGTCAAAAACCATTCAATTTTTTAATGTTATATCTTTAATTGGGGATTATTTTTATCTCAAAATGTAATTTTTGTATTCATTCTACTTCATACAAATGTCATTTTAATTTCTTTAATTAACCCGTTTGGAAACAGACATGTGCATTTGAGCACACCTTTTATTTTGTAAACTGTTTACTTGATTTTCACGAAACTTAGTCTATGGGATAATTTGATGCTTTATTTAAATCTGAGATAAAAAAAATAAACAATTTTAAATAATATAGATCCAATATGTGTATGGATAAAATTTGAAAAAAAATAATTTGATTACATCAAAACTTTATGATTATTTTCAAAAAATAATCTGATTATAACAAACTATAAACTAATAATAAAACTCGGTTTTAGGGAATTTTTAATTGCGAAATAACTTCAAATTTTCAGTGTCACTTTATTTGAAGCACATCAATGCTACGCAAATAAAATTTATAGTACGGGAGAGTGCTTTGAATCGAACCTATTTGCAGTTTTTGTTCTCTATAAGGCAAAAATAAAGTCCGATTATAAAACCAATGGTGCCGCTCGAAAGATCATTTAATTTCCTTCATTTTTGCTTCAGACCATTTTGACGTATCTCTTACCCATGTCAAACTATAATGGAAAATGTAAAAGTGCATTTTCCGGTCCGATTTGGAACTATGAATTTATAAAAATACAGTTATATTATTAAAATTAAAATCAATAAAAAATTCCATCAAGTCTGAGTCTGATGACACATAGGGTTTGTTTTTTGTTCCTGCATTGTTTGAACTAGTGCACACGGTGCAATAAGTTAAAATGAAATAAATGTATATTTGTTTCACTTCAACTTATTGTACTGTATGTACTATTTTAGACAGTGCAGGAACAAAAAACGGACCCATGATATTCTTTTGATTTAGTGTTCCTTAGACTAGATCTGATCGGTCGATCATCAGTATATATACTATAAGTTGTGGCGAACCTTCTTTCTTCGATGAATTAACTGGCTTATCTTTTTTATATAGGTCCGATTTAAACACGGGTTCTTTCAAACTATTGGAACAAATTTTATAATAAACCGCAAAAGTAATCACAAAACTTTTGATATTTTTGAATTCTACACTCTTTATAATTATCTTAAATCAATTACCGTTCAAATTTTTAACATTTTTAAATAAGGATTTACAAGGATTTTTTTTTTTTTTTAAATTTTTTTAACCGAAAATACATATTTGTTCTATGAACGTCATGACAGAGTACTGTCAAACTGCTGTCACATATTCTTATAAGGACTTTACATTATAAATAGCACGCAAATCTGCTTAATCGTATTTATTTAAATTAAAAAGGTTCGATTTGAAACACGGCCCGATTTAGGATATTCTTTCCTACTGATTTCTAAACTAACTTTCAAACTCTGATTATGAATTCTGATTGTACGACACCACATTCTCCTTCATTGGAGATTACTGTTCTTTTGGAATTCGATATTTTCAAGCGGCATTTAAATTCAGTGGTATCAAAAACTTTCTAAAATTCAGTTTCACAATAATCAGATTATGTTTTAAATTTGGATTGTCGAATTTTGAGAACAGATTCGAATCAGTGTAACCCCGAAAATATTTAAAAAATATTATCTTTATAGTTTCTCTACCAGAAAACCACTGCCCTCAAAGAATTCATTAATGTCTTTTAATTAACATAGATTAAATGGGTCTTACAGACCCAAAGCCAGTAAATTTGTTATATATTTTGGCATCCGAAGGATTAAAGACAAATATGTGTATGTGTGCTGTAAATTCTTTTACAAATGCTACGTAAATCTATAAGTTCAATCTATTGACTTATTACGATCATTTTACTGATTTATTAACCTTACAAATAGCTCACAAAAAGATTATAAATAAGCAACATCGAAATTTCAACGTCTTAGCGCAACAATGATATTTCACCCACTTTTCCCGTGCTCCGCAGCAGCATCCACCGCAGCCTCCTCGCATGCGATACTCATTACGGTCGATCGAGTCTACGTTCCTGTGGGTGGAGTTTGATAGATTCTCGTTCCACATGATATCATCTTCGTCGTTTCTTGCTTTATTTCCGGCAATGCGATCCGTCGGACAGACGTCACTGTTACCGGTCCATTCTCCCCGCGTATGTTCATCGCTCTCGACTGTCTGCTCGTTGATATTTTCTGACTGCGAACGCTGGCCTTTGTTATTGTTGAAAGTGCAACCCGATACTCTACAACGGGTCTCCGCGTAATTGTCGATCCTCGGTGTACTTTCCGAGTATCCGTCGTCGCTCTTGCCAGTTGACGAGTCGTCCGCCTTCCAAATGTCGTAGAACGTCTCCCGTTCAGCCTTGCTCTCGATTTCTCTGTCGTCGTCGCGACATGTGCTCGTTAGATCGTCATTCTGCATCGTGTGGCGGCAACGATCATCGTCGCCGTCGGTCCCAATAACAGTGGCGTCGCTGAAGGAGACCCGTCTGTGAAACGGCGCGCAGCGATTTGCTGTTAATGGACGCGACGGGCACAAACACTTCCGTCTCGACGGAGGCGCGATGTCCGATGTATCAACGGCGGCGGTTCTAGACTCGCGGCAAGAGGAAGAAGACTCGCAGGCGGATACAATCACCCTCGTCCTTTCCTCGCCCGTGGTACTAGAAATATCTGTGCTCACAATCCTCAATTCTATCTCATTTGGCCGCTCACCACGATTGTGATGCAAGCAGTTACGTATATAGATACTATATGCACAGGTGCGAATGACAATCAGACGCGATCGATTAAAATTATTCTCGCAACGATATATAAATGAAACAGCATCAAAAGAGTTGATACATGAAAAATAAAACGATAAAACGAGAACGTGTTCTCTATTCTTTTTATTCTTTTTTTTAATATCGTATTCGATGCAAATTAGAGTTTTATTTAAGAAATCAAAATACAGCATTAGCCTACAATTTGACGTAAACGTTCTATGTGAAACAAAAAAAAGTTTTTTTAATAGTTTTATTAAAAATTATTTATTTTTTTAATAATTTTAATGTTTGTTCTTTAATTTAATTTCGCTCTTTTTATTATCTAACAGTGATGTCTAACACAAATTTACAGTTATAAAATAAATATAAAGCATTATTCCCACAGAGTGATGTAAACGTTACATATCTAATAAAAAATAAATTGAAAAACAGTTTTATTGAAAAATAATATTTATTTTTATAACAATTTTAATGTTTTTTATTTAGTCCTTCTTTCGCTTTCATTACCGCCTTTTCAAACAAAAAAAAATATGCAGAGTTTGAAGCTGCTTTATACTTGTATATAAGAGTGCACTCATCCTTGTTAAAAGCTTTATATTCGATGCTGCAGAATATGTCTCACAATTTATAGGTAATCATAATTCAGTTATCTTGAATATTTCTGATTAATGAAACATATACTCAATCGATTTAAATGTATCGTGAGATAATTAAGATTACACACTTAACGTTTTACCTCAACTGATTTCGAGGGCTGCTCATTTCTCTGGTGAAATCCGTGTTCTACGATTAACGCTTCATTCTGTGATTATTTTCGTCGCCGCTGTCCTCCACAGGAATCGTTTACTTCAATTTACTCCAAATTTTCTTGATACGCTTTCGATTGATCTGCTCCGGTTTCCGAGATACCGGATAACTCTTGTCAATTATCTCACAGAATTGTTCACGTTATTGTTCTCGGCAGCTGGAAGTGACTCCGCAGATGGACAGATCTAAAGTTGGCATAGCTTTTGCCTCGTAGATGATTGATAATTAAACGGCCTACGTATAAAAAGTCATTTTATTTTACCTTACATATAGATTAGTTTGCTAAAAAAAATAGTTTTACAGATTGAGAAGCTCAAGAGCAATTGAAATAGATCTAAAATTATATAAACTAGTTTATTATAAATAATCTTGGAAAGATTTAACTAGGTATAAATATATAAATACATATAATTCATATACAATGCTCTTGGAGAACATTTCAACTATAAGTCTTCATCAGTTTCAAATTACAATAATGAAAAGATATTTAACATATTTATAAATAAGTGATTTTAATTTTAGATTTAGATTTTAATTTAGCTTGTGTAATCAATTAAATTTTCTAAACTTGAATGCTAAGAATTGTATCAACGTTACTGCAATCAAGTTGAAAATAGTATTGCAAGCAGTTTTATTCCTACTTATGTTTATACTCTTGTTTTCAATAATACTCTTGTTCTCCTATTTCCTACAATTTCAATTCTAACATGTGTGTAGAAATATATACATATATTATAAAAAACATTTTTAAATTATAATAGAACTTGTATTTTTTATACTCAATTATGTTATCGAAGTAATAAGACACAAATAATCTCTAGTACATAAAATTAGTTAATATACTTATGCGTGGTGGTATATTATAGAATAAGCTTTAATTGATACATTATGTGCGTGAAATGAAACGCACCCATACTTATAGTGATTGATCGCGAATTTGAACTGTCGTTTGCGCGGGAACGCAGTTCGAGATGGCGTTAACTTATGGGAGAAAATCAACGAACCCACGGTTAACGAGGCGAGAAAACAATGCGCGTGATATTTTTTGCGAAAGAAACGTTCCGCCGCGAGTCGCCACTCTACGGGTGTATAGGACTGCTTCCAACATTTACCTACGAGCGGTCACGTATGTTCGCAAAAATTAAACCTGATGACACGATATAAATTATAATAGTACATTTCTCAAATTATTATATTATATGAACGTTATTTCTTGAATCTATTTTACGGCAAAAAATAATATATAATGGAAATAAAGAGCATATAGTGAGTGTAAAAAATAATCATACGGGAAAAATTTTTATGAAAAAGCCTTGTTTGCAGAAATTAAATGATAATTAGCACCTTATACAATAAATACATTATTGCGACTTGATAAATAACAAATTTTGTGTGCTTCTGATCTTAGAAGCCAAATTTCTCGACCTTCTTTTTGTGAGTCAAATAATACGATTTTTTTATTTGCATTTACTGTATTTATTATCTAACAGCGCAAAAGCAGATATGTATCTGCCAAAATCAGAGAATCACTCTTTCATCGTCAAAAGTCATCTGACAACGACAATATGTGAAATGTGGTCAAATAAATATTTATCGCAATTTGTGATAAATTAATTAGCAATTATCAGTGAACGAACGTGACATATTTCAAATCAAGTATCATATTTGCAATTGTATAATAGTACCAAACGATAGCTTCGCCATTATTTGTATAGTTTTATACATACACGTAAATATATAAAATTAATAGATATAATTTTATATATTATTTATAATATAATATTATATATATAATTTTTGTTTGTAATTAATATACATTGTAATAATATTACATAAAAAACTATTGAGAGGCGGAGGATACAAGCAATAAATTTCTCTCTCTCTCTCTCTCTCTGAAATTTATTTCTTCGAAATAAAGGAAGAGGGGATTTTGGTTCCCTCTTCTAAAATCTTATTAAAAGAGCTTTATATTTAATATATAATAATTAAAAAAGTAACCATGAATTTTTTTCCACATTTTCAAAAAACTTAGAACGGCTAGAACAGGTAAAAATCTTGAGCTCATATACAGATTATTGCAGCAACATTACAACATTTCAGTAATATATTGTAATAAAAAATTGTAACATTATGCTCCCCAGATTGCACAGATGGAGGTTAAGTATTTGAGGTTGCATACGTACACACACACACACACGTTCATTCATACGTACACAAGTTTATTTTTTATAACATTATTTATATATTATACAATTCTTGATATCAAATATTCGATGTGTGTAAATGTGTTGCGTTAAAGTACTCATAATATTAATTTTTTTAGAATGTATAATTTGCTAAAGGTATATTTAATTAAATTAAGTTGATAGCGCAAAATCATCTATATAGATTAAAAAATAAGAGATTTAACATTACACAATCAGAGGAAACTTACCGATTCTTTACTCGATGTCTCTCGCGAAGATCCCGAATTTTATAGGCGATAGGTATCAATAAACTCGTTTTTATGTATGGAAAATAAAACGTAAATCGGCCGTTAAAATTACAATTTTTATTCAGTCTTTCGACTTTGGTGTCGTGTTCTCTCTCTCTCTCTCTCTCTCTCTTTCACCCTCGATTTCGATAGCAATGGATCTCGAATGATCGATATGGCGCGCGGCCAACGTCAGGTGGCGAGCGGTCTGGAGTAGCAGCTTTTCCTCTCTCCTATAGAGGGGAAACGCGCGAGGAAAGAGAGGTTAGGTTTGCTCGCGGCGATGGCGGCGATAAAAGGCCTGGGTAGGAATATTCCCTACTTGAGGCAACAGGCTGCGGCCCTGCTCGGTAATACCAGCACCAGCGTCAAGACCATCTGCGTGGTGGTGCTGTTCTCGTATTGCCTGTCCTTCTCCAAGGAGGCGATACGCATCCTGAGCGTGACGCCAGGTTACCTGCTGCCGCCGGTCTTCTGGTTCTGGACGGCCTTCACCTTTTGCTTCCTCGAGATACACTTCTGGGAGGTATGCGCGGACATCGTGACTGTCGGTTTATGTGGCAAGTTGATCGAGCCTCTGTGGGGCGCCTTCGAGATGATGACGTTCTTTGCCATCGTCAACTTCGGTGTCGCAGTGCTCTCAGCGCTCTTCTACCTGTTTCTCTACATGTGCACCAGCAACCCGGACTTGCTCTTCAGCATACACATACACGGTTTGACCGGCTACATCGCAGGTACTCTCCTTTTGCGGCTGATTGCATGAAAATCCTGATTGACTTGCATTGTTTTGTTTGTTATTATGGCCTTGACTAGAAGTACAAAATATACATAAATATACATAAATTAACGTAAATGTTCTACATCTAACAAAAAATAAATTAAAAAATAGTTTTACTGAAAAATAACACTTTTTTTAAGAACTATTTCAAAATATCTCATTAGTCACATTTACCTTTAATTACTAGAGGCATATTTTTTAGCAAGGACAGTTTAACACAATGAATCATCCATTTCATTCTTGTTGCTTGTTAAAAATGAAATGATTACACAGTTTGCTCTAAATGAATGAGACATTTAACAAAAGTAAGATAAAAAGTTTTAATGCAGTTGAGTTTGTTCAGTTCAGACAAAGAACAAATCTACTATATTTTCCAAAAAAATGCAATACATTGAGGATGCTTTATACAAGCATAGAACAAAGTTTTTGTTGGTTAATCTTCACAGATCAGAAAGCTATTATAATATAATGAAACAGTGTCAATTTTAATACAAAAAGTATATGTAATAAAACAATGATAACAAATCTTACTCCAGGAAAAATTCTAAGATTTGAAAAATAGACCTCTATTCTTTAAAGATTAATTTATAATGTTGATATAATTTTATTTTAGAATAGTTCTTATTACTTGTGAATGCAAAATATTCCTGAATTAAGTATGCCCTTTTAAGATTTTTCTTAAATAAATTTCATGGAAATGTTCAATTTTAAAATATAGCTTTAAATACAAAAAATGATTTTATTTTACAGGAGTTGCAGTAGCGGTGAAGCAAATAATGCCAGATCATATCTTAATCAAGACACCAATTGGGAAGATAACAAATAGAAATATACCCTTAATGGTATGGATTGTGGGATTGATATTGTGGCTTATTGGGTTACTAGAAGGTACTCATCCCACCATGTTTCTCAGTGGATTATTAATATCTTGGATATACCTGAGGTTTTATCAAAAGCACAACAATGGTACCCGAGGAGACATGGCGGATAATTTTACATTTGCGAGGTGAGATTTTTCTGTAATTCTGATTAATTCCGAAGATTAATGAAAAGATCGAATCCGACGATTGTCTTACTTGGAACTCTTTTTGCAGTTTCTTTCCAAATGTTTTACAACCACCGATAGCAGTAGTAGGTAACACTATACATGGATTTTTTGTGCGTATTGGACTGTGTCGAAAAGTAGTTAGAAGATTTGATATGTCCAACACACCACCTGGCTTAGTTATTAATCTTCCTGGTATTGATCCTCACGACAGCGAGCGACGCCGGTGAGTAGTTACAAGATAAAAATATAAATGCCGAAACTCAATTTTTAGATGAGTAAATATTTTGTCATTACGTACTGTTCTCATCTTTCCGATTGATATCTACTTTGCAGGCAAATAGCGTTGAAAGCGTTAAGCGAAAGATTAAGCAGAGATCACGCGAAACCTTGGCAACCGGACAGGACTAAGAAACACTCTCCAGTGCCTCCTGCGGTTTCCATACCGATACCTGAATCCACTACACCCAAACCACTCGCGTCTCCACTCATTCCACAAGTCAATGTCAATATACATAATCAACATCATCCCTCTAGTAGCAATACGTGATTATATGAGACTGACTGATTTCAATAGGTTTATAAATTACACTGAAAAGCTTTATAAATTACACTAAAGAGTAATTATGAATGTAAAGTGCAGGCTTATAATATGGCTGTATTCAATAATGGGTGCAAATCCTTTTTTTTAATCAAGTATCTATATATAGAATTTGTTATCACTATAATTTAAATTAAACTAAAATTTATCGTTCTTTTTATGGTGTGAATACATTTAAATTTCATGAAAACTAATAATACATACAGTTAAATTCATTAAAAGTATTTATTTATGCACAGAAAATCTAATTCATTCTTATAATATTCGTATATATTAAAACATAATAGAATATTATGGGAAAATTCTACATTAAATAGTTTATACAGTCTTTGAAATTTAAAAATCTCTAAGACTTCAATGCTATGACAAATTGCTAGCATTCTTATGTAATGTAAGTTGCAAGTTTAAATTATTCTTTCATTATTTTTACATTGAAAAGAGTTAATTTTAATTTCATAATAAATTATATATTAATATGAAAAAATTTCCAGATTAAAAATAAATTAATATACTGCCATTTATGGGAAATCAAATATAGTATTTTTTCTGTACTAATAATTAAAATATCGCTACAACAAATTATAGGATATCACTCCTTATTGATTATCATGCTATATTAATGCCGATTTAAATAAAGTATAAGTTTTTTTAGAAGATTTTTTTAACAGCATTTGAGAAAAATAAAATCAATGTTTGTATCTTATAATGCTATTTTCCAAGAAACGAAATAATTCTTTATTATACTAGATTATATAAAAATCAATGATATGAAAATGTTAATATTTCCATAAAAGGGCGACCTTTACAAGTTTATAGTGCCATAAGATTAGAGAGCACTGTTCCAAAAATTAATTATAATTTAAGAATAATATATAAAGATGCTTTCAGTGCAGTACATAGCAACATAATTCTGTTAAGAAAACATTGAAATTGAAGAAAGTGAACAGATTTAATTTTACTTTAAATTAAATTTTATACTAACTAAAAATACGAAAGAGATAAGGAATTATCTCGATGTTAACTTATACATATATACATATATTGAAATCAGCTAGTTAGAAATCATGCAGAAAAAGTCTGCATATTTACCTTTCGAGTAAAACATATATATATATATATATTTTTTCAACAAATTGTTCTAAATCATTATAATCAATATAGAATATAGCATTAATTTACTATTATCAGTTCTATTTTGTTTTTTTAATTTCTAAATAATATTATACATGAAGATGTATAAAAATTCCAATTTAGATTACATAATTTTATTTTGTACAGGATCGTTAATTTTATGTAAATGCGTATTTAATGTTATATATATATATATATATATAAAATGTATTAACATTTTTCGTTCATTCATTAGATATATTCGTATATACATAAACGATATCGCGTGGGAAAGATAGTTTTAATAATTATTATAATGAATAATGAGGTATATATCTTGTATATAAAATGTTATGATAATACAGACGAATTTGTAAATATAACAAAGATTGATGTAAAACGTAAAGGGAACAAGGTATTAAAAAGGGAAAATGATTATATATAGCGATATCACTATATGTAATCATTATACATATAATGGAATGATATTCAGAGCTATTTTTATGTATGGTGAGAATAAAATTTTGGAAACGTGTAATTGTATGTTCTGAGCAATTTTGGCCATCTATTTAATATTATTCACAAATCTTTTAAGTACTTTTATTATGAGTATTTAGTCAAATAATATTTATTATTATGTATGAAAAATGGAAGGCCAAAATTCATTGAGTATGAATGATGTATTTGTTGAACAAGCCTGTTTTAAGAATCTAATGTAATTATTACATGCATATGTATATGTTATATACATATATATATCAATTAATTTTGTACATAACTTACAATCGTTACAATCTGTACAATATTAAATTCTACTGACAAAATATATGTATTTACTTCATTACCACTACATTTTACAATCAGTATGATCGAAAGGGAAAAAGTCAGTGGAAGGTTCAGGAAATCCTTAATAATCTCTAAATATATTTCAAATATTAGAATAATTAAAACACTTAAAAATTCATAAATCTTTTATCAAGGGATATAATCTCATTATTATAATGTCTTGTACCAAATATATACAAATATATTATATATAAACTTTATTTGACAACTTTCTTGAAATAATAGATGTTTTTCAATTCGACATTTATTTTTATGGCGAAACGCCATAATATGCTTCGTTAGAACATAATAAATAGTGATGCCTCTAATTATATCAGTAAAATATCGAGAAATTTCGATAAACATATAATAACTCAATTTTATTGCAAAATTAAAACAATGTAGCTTATCAGACGTAAATATATAAAACATCGACAATTGTATAATATATAAAAAATATAGAACACATATTATATAAGCATCTGATGCTTGCAGCTATATCATTTGCATGTATATACAATATAGATTGAATTTTGCGAAAAATTGCGGATTTTGAATTGAAATTTTGTGTTTTTAAATAATATATAGAATATATCATAATAATAATTATAATTTCAAGTTTAAATGCTTATACAATATATACGTTCTATATGATAAGAAACATTTTAACTCGATTTATAATATATTCATTCGTATAATAATGATATAAATATTGAAATATAAAAAATAACTGTCTATATGCACATGTATACTGTCCATATGTACATGTACTGTATATATGTAAACATAATATACGCGTATATGTATATATATTATGTAGGGTGTCATTTTTATAATTCAATATTCACTGCTATGTAAAATTATTGTATACTGCATACTCTAAACATATTAGGAAATTATATACATTTATGTAATGTACCCAAAGTTTTCTTTATAAGGGACTTAATAAATAAAGCCCCAATAAGCAAGTAAGTAATATTTATGACAATCAATATATTTTTCCTTTATTTTATTAGAATTATCAGATCCCTTCAAACCAATATGGGATCAATAGATTCAGACCAAGTAATCATGGGTATTTTTTGAAATTTGTTTCTTATTTAAATTGAGAAAATGTTTCTCCACTTAGAAATATATATAAAGTGATAGGCTCAAACTCATGTCTTTCACGCGTCGATTACTTTATCACTAGACTACAACACTCGTCTTTTTTATCTATAAAACTGCTGTTGATGTTGTGACCATTGTGGCTGTGGTGGCGGTGGCGGTTGTTGCTGAGACGGTGGTGGACCATATTGAGGTTCCTGTATATAACCTGTAGGTGATGGTCGTATGGAGGTCGGTGCCGATGATACGTACTGTTGCTGCTGCGGTGGTGGCGGTGGTGGCACATAGGACACTTGAGTGGGATGTTGTGGCTGTGAATAGTACTGTTGTGTCGACTGCGACACCGGTGGTGGCACATTATAACCGCCATAATTAACTGCCGGCGGTGGCGGCGGAGGCGGCGGTGGTGGTGCCTGATAATAATGATGACTCTGTTGCGTGTGAAGATCATGCGTGGCTAAAGACGTTGTATCCTGAATTGGTACTGTGATGAGATTAGTTCGCATAGGAGCGTTATTTGGAGGCGGCGGTGGAGGCGCGGTACTCTGCGTATAACTCTGCATCGACATCATCGCTTGCTGCTGCTGTTGCTGTTGTTGTTGCTGTCTATGTTGTCGATGTTGCTCCAATGTTGGTTGATTCACCAATGAGTTCACACGAGGATCGTTACCTATAATCGGTTGAACCATGTGAGACTGAACAGATTTAAGCCGCGTGTTTTGCATCTGTACAGAGGACACTTTCGTCAACTGTGACTCCATCTCTGGTTTAGTGTGTACATATTGCGGAGGATCAACTTGCATTCCTTGGACAGGTTGTGGTGGCGCCGATATATGTCGATGATTAATGTGAGCCTATACAATGAATTAGAAAGTGTTAAATTTGTGTCTCAATGTATCTGGAGCTACTTCTTATATTTATATAAGTGTCATAAACATAATCTTAAAGTATCAGAAACCAATCAGGGTAATATTCATAGTTGAATTTTATATTTAAGATTGTCTTAGGTCTTAGATGATCTTAAAATTCCATCCAATAAAACAATTGCACAGCATATCAATATCATACTCAAGACAATTTTAAAATACAAGATTGGACTATAATATCATCCGTAAAAAGACAAAAATAAAAATAATTACATAAACAACAAACGTTTCGACATCGATCGGGTCATTCTCAATGTTACAGTAAATACATTATGATAAAATAATTGGAAATCTACGAAATATTGCTTCATAGTGGTATTCTTGTTTTCTTCCCCTTATCATAATGTTGCAAGTCAATAAATTAAAATAGTAAAATTGGTCATTGAAAAATTCATAACAGTAATACAGTAATAATTAAAAAAGTGATCGTTAACAAAGAAAAATTAATGCTATTACGCACAAACTAAAAAAATATACATAAAAGAAAATTTTTTTTTAATATACCTTATTAAATAAAATGTTGAGTCAATAAATAAAAAACGCAAAAAAGTTTATTGTACAATATATAATATGATGCGTGCGAGTGCGGAAGTGTTTATAACAGCAGGATTTATTTCTATGCAAAAGTACGCATATCACGTCTACCCTCTACAGAAATATCAACGAATTTAGAAGCGTATTGAAATTAATGAGCGGTAGTGTATATCATTAGTTATTAATCAAACAAAACTTTCCTGTGCGTTTATAATCTACAATTTTATCAATATTTTTTTTCATTTACCTGAAGATCTCGTTGGCTCAGATATGTTCTTCTGCAACCAGCATTTCCATATCTTGTGCCGCCATGCGTACACATAAATACAGTACCCAGGCCAGTTTGCTCCACTCTAGATACCTTCTCCATACAACGAGGGCAGACTTTGTCTTCTCTCTTAGCACAAGATAGGCAGAAAACATGTTTGCAAGGTATCTGAAAAGTATATTAAATACATTAGGAGCAATAATTGAAGTCGAATTTAATGAAAAAGATGTCACTACATGAAAACGATTGATTGAAAACATAATCGACGGATTTTGAGTTTGATCACGATTTGATCTCAGCTTGAGTGAACCATTGATACTCGGTCCAGAGACTAGCAATCCGCGAATCCAGGTTTCATGCGTGCCTCACATACGCAGGATTTTTCCGCGTTTATAATATATAATATTTATAACAAGTTTATTTTAAATTTATTCATTATTAATATGATCATATACGTTTCGGCCATGATTAGCCATCTTCAGTATATTAAAAATATACAATAGATTAATATTAATTATAAATTTCAGTATAGTAAAGCACAAGCTCAATATTCTAGTGTTATTGCTATGTTGATACAAAATTTCCAGAACAAATCTTAATATATATGCTAATATAAAGACTTTTACTATCAAGATCCCATATGTGGTCATTTGCTTTTTTGATTATAGTCAATAAAAATTGATATGAAAAATATAAATTTCTTGGCTTACTCTAATAACAAAACGTACCATACGACCATAGATGAGAATAGGCTTCAAGCATTTGTCACAACAATGTATCATAGGATTCAGTACTTTCTCTCCTATAAGATTCACCCGATGGTCCCATCTCAAACGTAGCATCGGTTCAGGCGGTCCACGATTTATGGTCGTGAAAGTTGGTGCTTCTAGTTGCGATATATCAGCTTCCAAGTCGAACTGTTGTTCGAGAGAAGGTTGCTGAGTCACGGGAGGTTCATGTTCGTTCTGCTCACCACCAACTGTTTCTGTAGAAGTATCTTCCGTTTGTTGTGGAGTATCTTCCTCATCACTTTCTATAACCTGCAAACAATTCAATGCATTAATATTTTATATTAAATAGAAACTATTGATATTACTCTACATTGTGTGTGTGTGTGTGTGTGGATTAAGTTTAGATTAATACACATTTAAAAAATCTACTTTATATACACACAGTACCTGCAGTATCAGTAAATACAATGGCAAAATATAATCAACAATAATAAAATAATATCTGTGTATATTCTATTAAAATATTATTATTAAGTATTTATAATTGTTTAAAATATTTATAAATATAAATAAAACAAAGCGCTCAATAAAAATAAATAATGATACAGAAGAAGGGCTAATAAATTCGTTTAATTTAACAGCGATGAAAATATACATATTATTTAACAAAACATAAAACAATTAAACAAACATTTCGACTCCGATCAGATTTTCAATGTTTAAATTATAACGGTCGTAAAAAACATGTGTTCGATTCTTTGTATTTTTGTGTCCTTGACTGACTACTTATAACATAGATTTCTTTGTCTTGAAATTATAATTTAATGTAAGATTTTTTGTTTGTTATCGAAGTAATATTTCATAGTCTTGGTTCATATAAATTCTATTAAATAATAAAAATTACATTGTAATTCAATGACACTTAAATTACATTGAATATATATATAAATAGATATTTTATTCTAAATCAATTTTACGTTAAAATAAAACAAATATACATGTATGTATACCTTATAACTTTTAATTAAGTCCATATTGATATAGATAATTGTTGGAGCAAATATGCGATTGAAAGAAGAACTTGGTGTACGTTCTGTATCAAGAGATTTTTTGAAAATAAGAAGGGACTTTGTAAGGTGAAGGAATGAAGTAGATAGAATAAACTGGAGTATTATTGGAGGTATTATTGGAGGAGGTATGGAAGAAGGGACTAAGACGGAGGAGGTATGGAAGAAGGGACTAAGACGGAGGAGGTATGGAAGAAGGGACTCCCTTCTCATTTTCAAAAAATCTCTTGATACAGAACCAAGTTCTCTCCATCACATATTTGCTCCAACAATTATTTGTATCAATCTGGACTTTTATTAAATTAAACAAATTTATTAGGCTTGTAGCCCTTCTTTTGTGTATCATAAAATATTTATATATTATTACATTTAACTTTGCAACTGAATTTGTGATATTATTTGTATAATTTATTAAAGTTAGTTTTGTAGTTATATATGTGTTATATCAAGAAATAAATTGACAAAAGTATTTGTACTGATTTTTGGACGTAATATAATATTTTTTATACATATTTAATAGCGTTTTTTTATTGACGCAGAACTAGTGCCTTAATTTAGTATATTTTAAAGCCATTGTATAATGAGTCTTCTACAATAAACCGTAGGTCATAAATTATAAGTCAAAGGCTAGAAATAGACCAATCACAGTTGTCAATTTTTAGTTCCTTACTCCTGATTTATGACTTATGGCTTATTGTAGAAAGCCTATAATACAAATCGACTTAAAGATGCATGTTTAATAAAAATATAGAAATGTGAATTAAACCATGAAATCCTTAATATATTTTATCTATTATTTGATAAAATATACAGTGAACATTTTATCAATAGAGATATCTCACTTTTACATTCAGATTAGAGTAATGTATAGGTCTTTTTTGTATACTGAGTATCAGTTCTGCCAATGAAAAACACTATAAAACTGATTTACCTTAACTTGCTTCTTAGATCTTCCTCTAGAAGCCCGACCTCCTCGGGTACGTCCACGACCTCGGCCACGAGCTCTACCCCTCATTCTTTTGCCTCCATTCTCTTCCATCGCTGAAATCAATAAATTTACTTGAGTCCATTATAATTGGATTAATATGTATCTCAAAACATTTTTTTATAAATATAAATCAATTTTTCTTACAAGAATTTTTTTTAAATAAAAAAAAGATAGCTACTAATAATTTAATCATGCATTATGTGTAGCTAATTAATGAAATTCAAGTATTCATAAATACAATTTTTAAAGATGATTAAAAAATAAAATTTAGGAATTTTAGGAATTGAGAACAATAAGATATACATAAAGAATCCGAATCTGAGTCAGAATAAATTTTCATGTTGTCAGTTTAGCTTCTTCTCGAGGAATTCCTGGTATTTCGCGATCGCTAATTGTATCTCAATGAAACGTTAAGGTTATGTTCTAGTTCGTTACTCTTGCCCTTCTCGAAGTTCTCGAAGATAAAGGCGACGATTTGTGGAAGGGCAAGACGGACTGTTACTGGCGATACTCACAATTGATATATGACGATTAAACGAATACGTTTTGTTGTGTCTCGAGCCGCCAAAAAACACAATGTTTTCACAACATGTCGTCGGCGATACGCGCGGCTCACCTTACAATTGCTTACAATGTTACAATACAACCTTACGACATTGTTGATATGTGATAAATGAACTGTCCAGAACTGTCTTTCTTGCGCATGAGCAGCATAAGCCGATGTGAATCAAACGTGATATCAAAGTACATTCCTTGAAGACATCCTCATCCTGCGTCACTCTGACGTACGTCAAAATAAGAGTAAAAGTAAACTTTAAGTCTTTAGAAATTGATCAATCACAGTCGAATGTGAGGAGAATAATCGACTATATAATTGGTCAATTCTTTAAAGTGGTTTAATGTGGTTCTTTAGTAAAATACCGACAATTCAGAAAATTTTTGGTGCTCCACCAGGACCACCCAAAATTACAAATTCTGCATAATTTAGATAAAATATCAAAACTACGTGTATATGAAACATACGATAGTATAAGAAATTAAGAGCTGCATCGAACGAAAACGATCGAAGTGAGATTGTATGTTTACTTTTCGAAGTTAAATTTATATGTAAATTTATGCAAATATCTTTCTGGCTGTTGACCTATTATTTCTTTTTCTAACTATTAAAATCGTAATTAAAAAAAAAAACTATTATCTTGTTTTTGAGAAAATTCTGTGGTAAGATTTCAGTGCAATTACTTCAACTTCGTTATATTAAAAAATTAGACATGTCTATGCGGTAACTCAATTAATTTACTAAACCTTAATAAGATTCCCTACTCCTATAATGTTTGCGGGGTTTGGGTGCGGTCTCATTACAAATGCTTTGAAATATTTGATTGACCAATGAAAAGAAAGAATTTTACAAATTAACCAATCAAAGAATGTTTCAAAGCATTTGTAGCATCACTTTGACTGACGTTGACCGTACCCGATGATCTCCATTCTCCATGGACCCCATGTGACGTACATACGCGTTCGTTGCCGTGGAAACGATATTACGCCGGAACGCGGATCGCAGGGCCGTCTACAACGATTGTGACGCCCACCATAAAAAATATCTTAAACACCTTAAAAACAAATCTTACGGAAAATGGATCCTTTCCGACTGACTTTATACAAAACTGATTATATCTCTACGCGTATTTTGCGACAGAATACAACAATTAGGGCTGCGTTTGGAAATATCACCCAAGTACCTCTATGTATCGTCTTATCCTTGTTTAACATTGAATGAACAAGAAGGATAAGATGATACTCGGGGAAATCTGGGTGATATTTCCGAATGCAGCCTTGATTAAAAAGGGTAAAAAATATATTTTTTACTCTTTAATGTATACATTAAAGTTAACGTACATCGGTAAAGGTCAATAAAAATGGATATAAGTCGCGACTTGGTCGTGACGAGCGGAACCAAATGGGACGTCCGACGATGAACGGCGTCGGGATTCTCTTTTATTGTCATACCTACGGCACTGTACGTAGTGTACTCGCAATACTGTGAATCAAAAGGGACGCGCGGCGGCAACAATAACGACTCCGCGGGAACAAGTGGCTTGTCTATCTCGTGCAGCGGTGCAGCGATATCGGCGAAGATGTCTTGCTGCGCCGGTAGCAAGAACGAGGAACGCGCCGAGCCGACACGAGTGCGGGGATGCACGGACGTTTTTTGGCTCTGCTTCTTCATAGCGTTCTGGTTTCTTATGGTATGCACACAGTCGACGCTTGACGCTATGTATATCTAGAGAGAGAGCCACGCATTAGCTTCTTCTTCCCCTTTTTTTGCAGACACATTTCGGCATTTGAAACGTATATTTTGTATCGGTATCTGAGATACACTGTTGATTTTATCGAAAATTTATACAAAGTGTCTGCTAGAAATTTTTTTGGTGAAGATACAGTTTTGATACAAAATCTGACACATATGTATACTGGGTGTCCCATTTTACTTTGACACCAAAATATCTCGATAATTATAAAAGGTACGGAAAAATATCTCGAACAAAGTTGTAGGATTTAAAATATCTATGATCATATCTACTAGCTGGTTCGACCATCAATCTTCGTTGACCAGACATCTTACCATATATATCTTTAACTTCAAAACGACTAACTTAATTAAAGTAAATTAAATTATAGTATTTTGAAAAGGTGTCAGGAAGGGCTATAATAATATGCAATAAAATCTATGAGGTTCTATTTAAAATATTCAAAGTGATCTTGTCCTGACCTTGGCAATACCACCTAATGTCAAATGGAAATGATCAGTAAATAGACCTTTTTAAATCCTACAACTTTTATCTGAAATATTTTTCCATAACTTTTATAATTTCGAGATATTTCAGAGTCAAAGTTAAAATGGGACATCCAGTATACAATAGATTGTTTTTTATGACTATAATAAATTAATATATAATTTATTGTACTTAAAAAGAAATAGTTATACTTCAAATTTATTAAAAATGAGATAGAGCAACTTTTAATACAGCAGCAAGAAACAGGCTGTTAGCAAGGTACTAGCAAAAATGTAGCAAAGTTCATCAATAAGATGTAATAGCAGATTAATGGCTAAAATTAAGCAAATTTTGCTTACCGTATAGTTGCTATACATATTATATACATATATAGAAGTCTGTGACTTGTTATCAAGATTGAAGATAATTGACTTGCAATTAGTACTTTGAGTGACATAACAGTTATACTGACATTGCATATAACTTTATACAGCATTCTCATAGTTTTATTAAAAGAGACATTTTATTTTAATTTAATTTTTTTTTAAAATAAATTTTAATTTATTAATAAATAAACTCTTAAAAACTTCATAATCTAACGGGGGACAATTTGTTTATTTATAGATCCTGATTGCTGCCTTTGCAATAGTCTATGGCAATCCTTTGCGGCTTATAAATGGATACGATAGTTTTGGAAACACATGCGGCATGAAAAATAATCCAAAGTTTGGCAGCATGGAGCTTTCTGGACAAGATACCAGTGACAAGCCGTTAGTTAGATATATATTTCTTTCTAATTTATCCAAAGCATCATTCATATAATACTTCTAAAAATTAATATGTTATATTTAAATTCCAGGTATTTATTCTTCTTGGATATAAATAATGTCACGCAGTCATTGAAGATTTGTGTGAAGCAATGTCCCGACAGAATTTTAAGGACAATGGAGGACATCTGTAAATTTTACAAAGAGACAGGATCACAGTTGTGTCATGATAGACCGGGCGGTGATTTTAGTGCATGCAACAGCGAGAGTAGTATATTTAAAAATGGATCTTGCCCTGAACGACCGGTTTACCCCAGTATACCCGTTTTAAATCGGTGTATCCCTAAGGCAGTGAAGGAAGTGAGCGAAACAATAATTTCAAATTTATATGGCTTAATCAATTCGTGGGATGTTATTGAACAGGTTCTAGGAGACCTATGTAAAACCTGGAAACAAATTCTAGCGTTATCTTTTGTTGCCTGTGGTAAGAATCTAGCATATTATTGCATGATAATATAATATAAGCTATATATGTATGTATAGAGTATACTTAACTAATCTTTATGTTTCAGTTTTATCACTCTTTGTTATAACTATTTTTCATTTATTGGCAAGTGTCGTAACATGGATTATAATTGTACTTGTAAGCATTGCTTCTACAGGTAAGTAATTGCATTTTGGAAAACTATAAATTTACAAGAAAATCTAGCTTTTCAATAAATGTATGTACATATGTGTCATAAATTAAATCTATAAATGAACAATGTTGCAGCAACAATTAATAAATATATCAATAAATGATATGTGCACTCGCAGAAATAAATCTATCAAAACAAGAACAGAGAGACTTATCAAGATAATATTTTTACGAAATTATAATAATTGCTTAAATATTGTACATCTATTAATCAACAGATTAATATATAATGATTGTTGGTTAAACAAATATAGAAGTAAATTAAGCTATTAATTATTCAAATTTGAAAATGTATTTGTAGTACTTAGAAAATTTAATACTTCACATACTTTTTAAAACTTTTAGAGTATACTCCGAAAAAGTAAAATCTTAAAGATGGAAAATTCAGCCATTTTTTTTAAGCTTAATTTTCACTTCTTAGAGTGAGAGTCCATTTTGAGGAATTTAGAAAGTAGCTTTGACTTTAGTAAAATCAATAGAATATATAATGTTTTCTATTCTTTAGTTTTGAAAATGTATAGAGATGTTACAAACATTTCTATATCTATATCTTTATATTAAAAAAAATTGACTTATAGAATATAAGACTGATGTAAACATTAGTTTGTAAATTATAAAATTACTATAAAAATATTATTTGTGTTTCTCTATCTTTTTAAAATTATTTATATGTATATATATATATATATATGTCTATATGTGTACGAATTATCATAAACAATAAATCTCGAAACTCATCTTATATATCATATATATATAAGCAGATTTTATTACCAACAAGTAATGTCATTTTATTTTAGCTGGTACAATTCTTTTATGGATGACATATGTTGATATTAAGAAAACCTTGGACAAAACTGATCCAAATCAACTTCTTGAAGAAGCTGTCAGAAATGAAAGAGCATTTCTTGCATTTTCCATTATTGCTACTATTATCACTGTAAGTGTTATATTATACATATAATGAAAAAATATATTACTATATCACTTACTATAATATAATACTTGTAAACTTTATTATAACGTAGAATTTCTTGTTAACATGTTTTTTTCATTTTACAGATTATTTTACTGTTTCTGTCATGTATATTACGCAAACGCATCAGTTTTATGGCGGCGCTATTCAAAGAAAGTGCAAAATGCTTAAGAGAATTGCCTGGTTTATTTTTCCAACCAATCTTAACATTTATATCTTTGATATTGTTTTTTGCCTTCTGGATATTTGTAATTCTTTGTCTTGCAACAGCAAGTAAGTATCTAGCAGTAAATGTAATTGGAATCAAACTTATTTTATGATCATGAGTAAATTTCCTATGTTTTATTATAGATTATCCTGAGACAAAGTCAGTACAAATGTACAAAAACACTATATTTGATCCTGTGAACTTAAGCTCGGTTGGTGAAAACGCTCCATTAATTGAAGAGAAAAAGATGATAGATTTTTCTCTTGATTCTTTCAAAAGTAATTTATTGTTTCATACACACTCACTCACTCACTCACTCACATAAATATATGTATGTGTAAAAGTACATGCATACATATGTGTATCTTGATTGTGTTCCAAAATTTACTTCCAGCAGAAATCAAGAGACGGTAATGTTTCGGCACTAAGCACACACACAGCCTACAGTTAATGTGTACAGATTTCCAACATTGGCAATGTAAAATTTGGAACACAGCCTTATAATTAATAAAGAAAATGAAATAAAATTAATTATTGAACATTTCAGCTTTTACTCTCGTAGAATATGTTGATGCGACTTGGGTGAAATACATGTGGTGGGTATATCTTATAGGATTGATATGGACATCGGAATTTATTGTTGGATGTCAAGACATGGTAATATCAGGTTCTGTTGCCCATTGGTACTTTAGGTAATATTTACAATATATTGTAGAACAAATATATATAAATATATTTATATCCAACATGCTTTAATAATGATCAATTTCCCTCATTAGAGATAAAAACGGCAGCTCATTTCCAGTATGTTCATCCATAGGACATTTAGTCTGCTATCACATGGGCTCTGTAGCATGTGGATCACTTTTGATAACCATTTTTAAATTACCCAGATTGATTTTGACATATTTGTATGCCAAGTAAGTTTTTTCACAAAAAAAAGATGCAGATAATCATCACTTTTTATCAAAGATGTTTCGATTCTCGATTAGATCCTTGAATACATGTCATCTCTTATTTTATAGATTCGAAAAAACTAAGGAAACATCTCCATGTGCTCAGTGTGGTTTAAAATTCTGTATTTGCTGTTTCTACTGTTTGGAAAAATTCATTCGCTATATGAATCATAATGCATACACCGTTGTTGCTATAGAGGGTACTCACTTTTGCAATGCGGCCAGAATAGTATGTTGTGTATATACATATATATAGTTTAAAAAATTTATCTTTATAGAAACTATAAAGAATAGACATAAATAAATACATATAATGATATTTATTTCTTTATGATAAAATAATGTACACATTTTATTTATATAATAAGATATGAATTTTTTGTATATTTTGTATTTTCTTTAAGGCTTATGCAACACTCGTCAGTAATGCTCTTCAAATAGCAGTGATCAATGGATTTGGCGATTTTATATTGTTCCTGGGAAAGTGTTTCGTTACAGCTGCAACCGGAAGCATCGCATTACTTTTTATGAGAGAAGACCCGGAGCTACATTTTTACGCTATTCCGATTTTTGTTATTTGTGTTTTCTCATTTTTCATTGCTCATTGTATAATTTCCCTTTACGAGGTAAGTAAAATACACACACGCGCACGCGCGCGCCACACACAAAATTATATACATCAACATATTTCATATGAGAATGCTTTCTAATGATCCTTTATAATAATTTATTATTTTAGACTGTTATTGACACGCTATTCTTATGTGTATGTGAGGATAAGAATTTAAACGGTGAAAATGGAAAGTGGCGTCAGTCTGCGTTAGCACAAATCGGAGCCTCTAGCAGTAACGCAAATGGACAACAATCTCACGAAATGACACCGATAAACGAATAAGTATCTGATATTTTAGATACATCTTTTTTATACACATTTTTGTACACATATTTTTTTATATGATAGAATATTTACTCTTGCATTTTATCACTTTAATAAGATTAATAAGAATACATTCCTTTCGTTCACGCGTGCAATATTTGTATTGCTATACAAATAACTTTACAATAACTTTGTCTCGAATTATTTTTATAATAATTAATCTCAGAGAGATATTTAAATTATATAAAAATACGATTTATTCATAATATATTTTTAATAATTATATTACAAATAAGCAAAATACTTTTGTTTAATCGTGTGTGATTTTATAATATCAATTTATTTTTTCTCGTAATGTTTAAGAATGAACTCATTTCTTAAGACTACAGATCTTCTTTTGTGATAAATCATTGCTAGAATATTCAGAATTATTATTTGTATTTTTTGCTATTTCGATATTTAGGCAATCTTGATTGACATGTAAAATATTTTGTGTAATTGCAAATGCTATTTGATAATATGAACGAATTATGATTATAAAACAGAAAATAATGTAGTGTCAATTGCTCACTTTGAGATTTAAAATCCGCTCATACTTAGCTCTAACTCTTGATTTAACTGCCAGATTTTAAGGTATTATCGAATATTTTATAATATTCACTAGAATCATTGAAAAAGAAATTTGATTACGATATTATATTTTATAAGAATTTTTCATTTTATGGAATATATGTTTTACTCGATGCGCTAAATATCTAATTGATGAATAAGATAAAATATAGATTAGATTTTTATCTTTTCTAAACTTTATATCATTGATGAAGTGCCATTGCACAAATTGAAAACTCTGTATCTTAAGAATATTGCTTGTATAACAAGAGAATTAGAGTAATGATATTTTTAGATTTAAGCGTACATATAAAAAAAAGCAAGTGCAAGTCAATAAAGTCATAAAGTACAATTATTATTTACAAAAAAAAAAATGCATTCTAAAACAACAAAGTGCAATTATTTGTAATTCAAGAAATTGTCAACACATAAAATGTGGATTATTTATTATATTGCTGGAAAAATTGTTCCTCTGCTAATTATAAATGGAAAATCTATTTTCTAAAACTTTACACATAAGGTTCATTCCTTCCAATAAAAAGTTATATCCAATTCACACTTAGATAATAAGAGGCTTTTATACTTTGGCTTGATTACGATAACTTTCTCCCTCAATAGGGAGAAGGGATAGATCTTGCTTCATCCCGTAAGCAGGGGGGAAATAAAGTCGCTTCAGCCTGCAAATAGAAAGATGGAAAATGCTTTTTTACTTTTTTCTCGTGCTTTTCACTACGAATGCTTTTGAAAATCACTCATTTTGAGGAGTCAAAGTTATCGTGATCGTCCCCATACTTCGATGTACAAAATATATATTTTTAGATATTTTAATACAATTTATTAAGCAAGTGCTTGTGCGAGATAAATTAAAAAATATATATCTAAATAAGTGTCTATGATATATTTTTAAAGTATTTTAGATTGATATAAATTTGTGTTAATAAATATCACATTTAATTATGAAGTACAAAGTAGTATGATTAATAAATATATTCTCTGAATATTCAATGGTATTATTAATATACATTGTATCGCCGAAATTAAGTAACTATACTATTGTACGAAATTTTATTTTTTTAAATTTCACACGCGCGTGCGCACACAAAATATGTTTGTGATTGAAAAACATTTTGTTAATAAATAACTGAATTATTTTATTAAATTTAAATAACCAGCGAACACAATTTGTCAAAAAAGATAATTCAAAATTAGTATGTATATATACATATTTAAATTATGCATATATATGTAAATTATGCATGTACGCGCATGCGTGCACAGTGCACACATCCACGAGATCATTTAATGAATCTTTATGAAATTATATAAATAATGTAAGAACTATATAGAAAATTAATTTTTATCGTTTTATTTATTTTAAAATTCTCATATACATATATTGTGTTAAAGTTATTATATTTACTAAATAATCCATCGTACAAAAAACAAACATTTATCATTTATTGTATTAAAAATACTTTATTAACGACATTACAAAATAATATTTATTTCATTTTCTTCTTTTTCGAGCTTTTTGATTTTACAAATTTTGCTTTTTTAACTTTTTTAGCTACCACGGGCTTCTTTTTTATTTTTTTCACTTTGTTTTTTACAATTTTGTTTGTATTTTCATTTTTATCCATTTCAAATTTTTCTTCCATTTCCATTGCTTTTTCCAGTAAATCACCTTCAAATATCTCATCTGTAGGATTAATTCTATAAGATAATTCAGGTTTATATACCTGTTTTACCATTTTCTGTTCCACTCTATTTTTATATTTATTAGCAGCCTTTTTTGCTACTGATTGACGTAGCTAAAATTTTTTATAAATTATAAGAAATATAAATATTGCTATAAAAATAAATCAATATGTTTGTAAAATATGAATGTTCTATTACCTTGGCAGGGGAAGTATAGTTAGGATTATCCCACAAAGCATCACTGCCGAAACTTCCACTAAATATCTTAACTGGATTCAAAACAAATCTAGGACCAATTTCGGTTAATGCACCATCCTCTGTTAAAATTTGAAAATTTCGAAACCATATCCTATTATCTAGAATACTGAATGTGTATACATGATCAAAGAACGGTTGACTTTTAGGATGATGATTTGGTACACCAAAAATCTGTGTTAGTAATTCCTTTAAAAGATTAAAATGTGCATGTGTGGTGAAATTTTCATCAAATGATAACAATGGTCGAGATCCTTTCAAACAATTTCCTGTCATCTTTAACTCTCCCATTGTGTAAACTACAAATAAATCAAATATGTAATTGTCATGCATTATATATAGACTCTACGTATAAAATTTATTGAGTACAATATTTACTATTTTCTACAAGAAATTTTACACTTGGTCCAGTGGGTACATTAGCAAACCATATGTAAAGATCTCGCTTCATTCGGCCTTCAAACAGTATAGCCTTATTGCAATTCTTCATTTCACACATTTCGTTCACTACTTGTAAATTCTTAGTGCGTTCCATCTTGCATTCTGGACGATGATGCGGCATCAGTCTTTTTAAATCCTCCATGAGATGTCGATGTCTATAATTGATACCTCGAGTAGCAAATACCAATACCCGTTGCTTGTTAATCCATTTCATCTACAAGAAAAAAAAATTATTCCAATTTTCCTTTTCATTAATAAACAAATGCATACAGAGGGTAACAGCAAAGATTAGAAAACATTATAGAAAACATTAGATACAATAATTATATTTTTTAGAATTATTAATTTAACAGATTTTTATTAAATGTTTCCTTAAAAAATATTAATATATTTAATATATAATTCTTTTTCATTAACCAGCACTTTACAATATTAATTATATTGAATAAATAGTATAGGTTATATTTGCATACCTTTTTAGCGGCAGGTTCACCTGCCACAGTCTTTTTCGATTCATTTTCTTTTTCCAGCAGTTCATCATCTTCCTTCTGCTTTCTCTTTAACATTTTCTTCGTCATTATAATAAACGAAATAAATGGTAAAAGTAAAAATTCAAAACAAATTCTTGAATAAAACTCGCTTATACAATTCACGTGGACTCATCAAGTCCACGATTTCACGACAGTCACCGAGATTCGACTTCGAGCTCTCGAATCATCGAACCCTGATGGTCTGACTAGGACTGTTCTTTTTAGCTGAACTTCTTGCACGATTCATCTTTTCTCTTTTTCTCTTCAACGTGAAAGGAAAAGGAAGAAAGATGAACCATGCAAGAATTTCAGCTAAAAAGAACAGACCTTTGGTTATTAGGACGCCACTTTTGATTGCCCCGCTATAAGCGCCATCTCTTAGCCATTCGCGTTATTTGGAGCAAGATAGACTACCTCAGATTATCTTTTTTCACTCGCAAGTCGCAAGATTTGGCTAGAAAATAGACGACACTTTTTGATGGCCAGTCTCTGATTAAGAATTTCTGTTCTTCCATAAAGTGATTTTCTGAGTCTGAAATTAAAACCAGCGGCACACAAATGTTTGTTTTCCTACATTTTAGCCGCTTTGTCTGCGCATCCCTCAAGTTGTTTCACTCGTCTTTTTTTCCACTGGCGGTATTCATTTATGTATATTCTGTAGCGGCAGTATTCATGGATGAAAATATGAGCTGATAACAACGATAAATACCGGTAAAAATCATATAAACTTGATACAAAATTTAAATCATTCAAGAGGTTAAGCGAAATCGAAGCGAGTAACGATTTTATCAAGATTTAAAAAGAGCGAAATGGCGAGGACTTTAACGATCGTAGATAGCAACCTGCTACAACTAAAAAGGTTAGTAGTGAGACCAATTGAAGACCTGCTTGCTGTGAAGAACGAAGATGATTTTTCAAGAACGAAAAGCATTGACGAAGAGGACCAAGATATGCGGGAAGACATTACGGAATTTAAAACGAGAATTGTACCGGCAGTTACCATCGAAGAAACTGAAAATAACGTAGTTTTCAATAGAAACTCAACTTGTAATAATGGCGCGAAAAAGAGGGACCAGATTTCAGGGCATCAATCAGGAATGTTATTGGAAGAATTATTTGAGGTCGAGGAAAATCCACATATAAACACTGATGAAAATGAAGACCGGAAGGAAATAATATTGGATCCAGCGAATCATGTAACAACAGCGTGTAATATAGAGCTACAAATGGATGAACCATGTACAGAGAAACATTTGGAGCAACCACATATGGACGAGTCACAAAACTCGCAAGCAACCAATTCTGTGACAATGATAAATAATATGTTGCAGATACAAGACTCAGAGTTTGAAACCATGGAGGAGATGGAGGAAGAAGAGGAACGCCTAATAACAGAAATTGAAAGGAGAAGTGAGCTACAGAAAACAATTAATGAAAAGCTTGCAAGAATTAAAAAGATGCGCGAGTTTTTAAAACAATTAAGTAACATTGGAGAAATTGAGGCTAAAGCAGAAGACGAACAGATGGAGGAGCAATTAAATGCAGCGATAGATGATTACTTGACAGCAGGTGAACAAAGCACAAGTTTCAGCGATAATTTTACAATAGTAGACGACAACGGCCAAAGCACGTGCCATGCGTCGATGGTTGTCACAATGAAGGACAAAAAACTAGAGAAGAACCAGGAAAAGAAAACATACCGGATAACATATGATATTACAGGATCTCAAATAAGTCGATCATACTATGTATTTACAGATGATAATGCCATATCATTACAGACAAATAAAGCTGGGAAGACGAAGGAAACAAACACGTCAAAGGTAACAACACGATCGATGAAGAGAGTAAGAAAGAATTTACCAACAAAGTCAGATTTGAATAAAACAGTACAGCTTAAAAAAAGGAGAAATACGCAATGGTTGTTGAGACCATTAAATAGAAAAGTAATTTACGAAACGGTAAAAAAAAGAGGGAGAGATCCAATGACAATTATAAGGAATGAAAAGGGAAGGTTTGTGAAGAAAAAGAAGAATTTGTGAAGATATGAGAGTGCTTTCGACAAGAAAATGAATGAGGTAACTATATTAATGTGGAAACTTAATCTGAATCCTTCTGCTTCTTTGCCTTTTAATCTTCTTATTGAGCCCCATTTTCTTTTCTAATGATGATACAGCCAATAATATAGGTGAAAAGTTATAAAATATACTTTTAATTTTCCAGAGAATAGCCACAAAGAAGTAAAAATGTGAAGTCAACTCACGAGTGTGCAAAATACACATTCAGCAAGTTTCATGAGAAATTTCCAAAAAATTATAAGAGACAACAACTCGCCGAAACAAAACACGTTTTTGTCCCGGCTAAGTCGTCAATCAAACATTCATCTTGAGATAGAGGAGGCTATAACGGAAGATTCAACTAAAGAGATTGAAGGAGACTAATGAGACACTGATTACGTTTACATAGCAGACTTAATTGAATTTAATAATATCTGTAGTTATGAAACTGGTCAATTATAGTTCCTCTGAAGAATAGAATAACTGTGATTGACTACTTTTTAATGATGAATAATTATTAAACTCAATTTAAGGTGTTTGTGCAAACATAAGCACTGTTGATGGAAGAAAAGAGTAGATGACGTGATCAGAGAGGCAATGGAGAGCGATGAACGGCAAGGATGCAGCATTCAATAGTATCTCATGGGCCTAAGAGGATGAAAATGCTTAGTAATTAAAAATTACTTGAAGATTTAGCGAAAAGTGTATTTCATGTGTAGTTTATGCTATATATAGCTATATATGAATAATTAATCATATATTCGTATGATTTATTATTCAGCATAAATCGCACATAATTATGCTATTAAAAAACAACAGAATATTGTATATTTAATTTTAAAAAAAAAAAGCCTATGAGATCTCCCATGGTTGTTGGTACTTCCATTATATGTATTGTATATTCATAAGGCAGTAAGATATAATTTGTATAAATAGTTAAAATGTACTTATCAAGTAAAATTCTGCAAGCTTTTCGATTCTGCAATCTTTACTTTTCGGAATTTTGTTTCGTTTCAAAAAATACACAATTGACCTCTTGGATTTAAGTCTTCTTTAGTACCAAAATTAAGCACAAAGTATATTTTATCGCCTTGTGTGATTTATGCATTACAACAAAGGGTCAAGTAGGCGTTTGACTTGTATTGAATTAATTTTTAGAATCACAAATTATGCTATTTATCCTTTCGTACTGGGATATATATGACCTACCTACGTATGAAAAAACAATTATAATTTGTAAAAAGTAATCCTATCGACTTTTCCCTTGACTCTCTCTTGTTTTATATATATATATAAAGGTTTTAATTACATGTAAATACCGTTTATTATGTCGAAAAATTATAGAATTGGTGCTAATTATATGTATATTTAAAGTAAAATTTGTACGTATATGTATTCAAAGTGCGCACGCGTGTGTGTGTGTTCATACATATATGCTCTTATATTTTAAATATACCAAATAAATAATAATAAACGAAGCTCTCGAAGTTAAAACAATAATAAGGGTAAAGTAAAGGGCAAATTTGAAAGTCGTCGATAAATAAAATTAAGAAAAAATTTTTACATTTGAAAAATTAAAATATAATTAGAACAAAATCAGACTGCGCGCATATATATACATAACATGTTTCGGCTCCTGGTTCGAGTCTTCTTCAAATGTATAAAATATCCATTGTATCTTAGTGACGATAGAATTGTAAATGTATTCTTGTCCTGCGATGTCTAGATGAGTGACTCACCGGGAGAACAAATTTACTGACAGAAGATTGGTAAATCAAATGTTGGCCGAATCGATAATCCAGTCAGCACTTTAATTTTTCAATTGTAAAAATTTTTTCTTAATTCTATTTGTCGACGACTCTCGGAGCACTTTCAAAACTTATAAAATTGTCTTCATATAAAATACATCTTTTTTTTAGAAAACCTACAGGTACGAAAGGATTTACATAATTTATTTCAATTTTATGTTTATGTGCATACAGCAGATTTTTTTTTTGGTTCAAAACTGATATCATAAAAAACTTAAGAGTGTCTAAAATTTATATTTATCCATAAAAATTTTTTTATAGATAAATATGAATTTTCTGTTTTTAGCCATAGGAAACAGTCAGTAGTTAGTCATAAGTTTATTAAAATTAAAATACAATACTTTGTGTTTTTGTCGTACTAAGCAATTTATATCGTATATATATATATATATATATATTATTCAATTATATATTATAAGTATATATATTATTCAATTAAGAGTTTGTATTTTTTTGTACCAATAGTAAAATTTATTAGGTCACCATAAGAATTTGATAATTTATGTTTATGACTATAAAGTGATTTGTACAGCGAATTTACTGTTAGATACATTTTTATTTTTTTTTTCCTTTATGCAAGGAGACAAAATAATTTTAATATTTTTATACAAGTTTACCTAAAAATGTGATTTTTATATATGACGTGTCTATATTATATCAGATAAGTTTAGCTATTAGAGAAATTAAATTAAATTACCGTATTTACAATAAAATAAGTCTAGATTGGACGGTATTGATCTGTGAAGATGAACACACAAAAAAAGGAATAATTTATATTTAATAGCGAGAATTAATAAGAATGGTTCCGTTTGACATTGAGGTTGCTGTCGATTGGCTAGGAGAAACAAGCATAGACATTATTTTGTATCATATATGTTATCAAGTATAGGGGATATAAGGAAATGTTGACGAAAGTTTTTTTTCCCAGTTTCACCTATGCGTTACAAAGTTTGTGGATCGTTACTAAAAAAGTGAAGCAGAGTTTTATCTAATATTGTGACTTATTAAAATTAGATTTAAAGATCAAGTGGTTAAGTTATAAAAATAAAAGTAAGAAAAAGGAGCATATACCACACGCTAGTTCAAAGTAGCGAAAATATAGTGTATTTATTAATACTAAAAATTACATAACTATAAACGTTTCGGTCCTTAATGTGATCATCTTCAGTATATAAAACAAAAAATTTTTCTTCTAATATATTCTAAATGATAATATGTATTGAAGCATAATTTCTCGCAATTAAGGACCGAAACATTTATAGTTATGTAATTTTTAGTATTAATAAATCACTATATTTTCGCTACTTTGAACCAACGTGTGGTATATACTACTTTTTCTTACTTTTATTATTAAAATTAGTTATTAAAATATTGATTACACGTTATTTTTACGTTGTGACTTGCAGTTACTATGTACATTTTCCGGGCGCGAGTACATGTATGTTTGTGAAGTAGCGAAAGTGTAAAAGATTGTGTAAATACGGAAGAAATATTATTTTACTTAAAAACTAAACATTTTTTAGTTATTTATTTATTTATTTATTGAACTTTATTTAGCGATCCGTTTGTCTCTCTACTTCCATTTTTTCCTTTTTTTTTCTCATTGATCACTACATTTAACTTTTAAGGTGCCTTTTTCATGCTGATGCTCGACGCTCATTTTTAGTGAAAAACAGATCACATAATGAAAATTGAATATCAAGTGCCAATTTGATCAATAATCTATTTTGACGCTAAAAATAAACGTCGAGAATCGGCATAAAAAGGCTCCTTTAGTTTGTTACATTCTTGTTATGATTATTGCTACAAAATTATTTTCAAATAATTTTTAGCACATTCTCAGAATATTTTCAACATTTTTTGCATTATCACATTAACAGATAATCTAATATTTATCGTCAAAACATAAAATACAGGAATAGAGACACACACACACACATATAATTAAATTTATAAATTTTGCTTATCTGGCCATCCGGTCCAGCTTTAAAACCGGCGGCACACGATGCTTGTTTTCTTGCTGGATTACTAGAGTTGCATTCCACTTGACGCTTGCAACGTTCATGAGCATCGTTTTTTCTTGTTTGGTAAACAGCAAGGATGAAATGATTCCACATGAGTGTTGTAAGCATTAAATGGAACATAGTTTAAATGGATTATATAATCTTACCACTATTATTTACAGCTACGATGCTGGCCGTATAATGCCAATATAATGGTTATTTTATAAAACTATATAATTTGTGTGCATACATACACAATTAAAATATGTTGAGAAAAGTACATTTTAGTTGTTATTATTTGCACTCCATACACAGAAAAAAATTTACTAAATTTTAATAAATATTTCTTTGAATAGTTCTGTACATATATTATTTTTACTAAATGTATAAAAGACATATTTTTATTAAATACAAGATCGAACCATTAATTTGATTCAATTATTATTTTTTAATTTATTCGAATATTTATTCACTGCATGTAAGTAAATATTCCGTTAGGACTATTCAAAAAAATATTTTTTTAAATTTAATTTTTTCTCAGTATACAGGAGAATTCCATACATATATAGCATACATTTCGTAATAAATTAAAAGATATGCTAACTAAATGGTAGAAAAGGGTAACAATAAAAATAGAAAACTCTAATTTCTGGATAAGTAACTTTTTTATTGGGTATATGAACTTGGCTGTTTTTTCAAAATTCCGTTTTCAAGGATTTTTATATAAATATGAATACAATATATAAGAGTGCTGTTTATAATAGCAGATCCATTGTACAAATTACATATGTATCATGTTCAGCTTATCCTTTACAGAAAAATCAATAAATCTGGATGTACAGAGCGAATGTACCAAATTAAGAAGAGGTAATATGTGTTGAAAGCTGCTCATGCGCAGGCCACAGGTACGCTCCAGACGAAGCTACGCCCGGATCCCTATAACATCGCGCTTTAATACTGAGTGTAATCAGTGAAAAATGAGTGATGAATATCAATTTAATTGGTGAAAAATAGGTGATATATCTATCTATCTATCTATATTACTCCCCTGCGTAGCTTTTGGACCTGATTAATGGATCACAGTATAGCTATGAGTTGCAATACCCAGTGAGAAATGGAATCGACGTTGAATCGATCTCAATTCAACGTCGATTTGATAATTTCAACGTCGACATCAATTCGATATCGATTCTATTGTCATTCCTACTGGGTAGTGCTTATATATCATCCCCCTCGAGGCGCAGAAGACGGGTGTACATCAAGCATTTCTGGTCTTGCGGTACACTGCATGTATATGTCGAAACATTTTGTGTGTAATTTTTTGTGTACAAACATTTTTTGTAACTATATTTTACTAATTTACGTGTATGTACTTTATATGTACTTTATATGTTCTTTATAAGATAGATAATTAACGTAAAATAAAACGTAACGTAAAACTCGACACTTTTATTATTTTGAAGTACTATTAACTTATAAAGGCTGCGTTCCACTTGCTTCTTCCAAATGCTCTGAAAATTACGCTTTAAACGCTATACAGTTGGATCGGTCCATTATTATGCCGAAAGCTATATAATCACTACGTAAACACTCCAGCCAACCCACCTCCCGAGGTGCAGAGGCAGTGGGAGCAAAAACGATGATGTATTGATGACGTAGAGGTCCTGGAAGCGTTCCGAAGAGTCAAATGGACCAGTCATGTTAATGTTACAAATGCTCGTAGCGTTTGAAGCGCTAAGTGGACCGCAGCCAAAATCATTAATGTTTTCAAATAGAGGATACCAAATTTTGATAGTTTTAACACTTTTAAAATAAGTGATATTTATTATGTTAATATTTAAAGCGAGTATAATGTACAAAAGCACCTTCGCACTGTAAGTGCAATGTGTCATATCCACCTAGCATTTAATAGTATAGTAATGTTGTAGCAATACTACAAATTTGCTGTAACATTACCTGGTAATTTGTCAGTAATATTGTATAAATATCGCTGCAATAACAAATGTCCGCGACTTTATCACAGAAATATTTCTGTGATATTGTAATACTATGCAATATTTCTATATATTATGCTAATATTTTACAATATTTTAGTATATCGTAGTAATATCGCTGTAGTATTACAGCAATATTTCTACATGGTGTGCTAATATTGCGGTGATCTGTCTAAAATATGACAATATATATTTATAATATATATTGTCATATATTATTTATAATATATAATAATATGGCAATATGTATTTATAATATCATGGTGACATTTTGACAATATCTATTATGCATCGTTCTGTAATATTGCAGTTATGATTTTACAATATATGGTACAAGGTATCCTGTAAAAACTATAACAACGCTGATAAGGGTTTATTCGCTTCAAGACGGAATTTTAAAATATCGAGGCTATCGTAGTTTTTTTATTATAAGCATTTAAAAAGTTAACTAATTTTATTGCCTAAAAAATAATAATATAATTAATTAGATTTCGCTCGTTTTTTGCAATGCAAAGTATAAAGAAAGAACGATCTAAATCGAGTAGTAATAATATTTTTTAATTAATAAATTTCTAGTTTACAATATTACTAAGAAACAACATAAAATACTTGTTCGTCTGATTTTAAATTAAACGCAAATAATAATTAAACATTTATTATGTTAAAAAATACATTTAACCTCGATATTTTGATATTAGAATTTTCATCTTAAAATAATCTCAGAAATCTCCCTTTAAGCGTTTTCTGGTTCTTACGACACACACACACACACACACACACACACACACACACACACACACACACACACACACACACTCTCTCTCTCTCACTCTCTCTCTCTCTCTCTCTCTCTCTGTATACATATATGTATATTTATATATGTATAGGCATTCTCTGTCAAATCGATCACCCCCTCTGTCCAAAATTCAGTTCAACCAAAAAATTTTTTTTTTAGCTCAAATTGTGAGTGTACATATCTACTTTCTTTAACACTCTGGCGTTTTTGGAAATTCATTATAGTAGACCTGAAATAATGACTGTTGTTTACGAAGTACTAATTAAAAATACTTAAATCATTACTTAAAATAAGTAAAATACGATTTTTACGAATATCGAATTATCCAATTGTTTTTCGGGTCATAGATAAAGAATCGGCGGTCAGATTTCCAAAATAAAAAATGGCGACTCCAATATGATGGAAATTTTCCAAAATTTTCTTAATATTCATGAAAATCAGTGATTAGAAGTGCTTTGGATCGCTAATCACGAATCTGCATCTGGATTAACAGAATTCAAAGGAGAATCTAATAGTCGATCAAAATACTAATAAATTGATTCACTTGCCTCATAAATCTGTATTGAAAAGTCTTTCGGGATGCCGTCGCTAGAATGGTAGATTCAACATGATGATCTAAAATTTTTTTAATGTCCTTAATTCAGATCGGGATCAAAGCATTTTTAAGATGTTAATTACAAATTTACTGTGATGTCTCTGTACATCAAAATAACATTTATAAAAAATTTATGAAAAATTAAGAAAATTTTCACTTCTGAAACCGCCAGACTTAATTTTTCATCCTCAATTCCGAAAATGTATAAACTAACAAATATTTTGTATTACTTGCATGAATTCTGCGATTAATAAAAATTTATTTCAAGCTTTACAACAGTGTTTGATTCTTCCCTCGACTCAATAGATCCCTGAACCCGTGTCGTTATCGGTAGCGTAATAGTTGAGCAGATCTTCATTCAAAATGAGTCTTGTGTAAAATTTCATTGTTTGAGTTATAAATGGAGTAGCATTTGTGTTAAAAATATTCTGCACATTTTAAGCTACTATGAAATGTTTAAAAAGCATCTTTTCACTGTTAATTTATCTGTTAAAAAGATCCTAGATATTCAAAATATATTTTAACTATAGATAAACAAAACGCATTTGTATAACATTTTTAGCATTTTTTAAAGCATTTTTTTAACATCTCACATACTACCAATTGGAATATTGTTATTTTCAGTAAATACAGTTTTTTTGTGGTTTTTTTTCGTTTTCTAAAAATTATAAGTTTTCGACAAAACTCATTTCGTAATTATATTCCTCAATTATTTGAATATTTTATATTAAATTGATATTGAACATTTTTTACTAAAATAACATTTATGAATAAATGAACAAATAATATAAAATTATGTTTATCAAAATGTAAGTTAACAGATAAATGAATAAATCGTATTAATTCAACATATTATCTATATAAATGTTAAATGTTAAATGTTATTTTGATGTACAGAGACATCACAGTAAATTTGTAATTAACATCTTAAAAATGCTTCGATCCCGATCTGAATTAAGGACATTTAAAAAATTTTGGATCACAATTGGATAACGATATTCGTAAAAATCGAACGTATTTTGGCTCATCTAAGTAATGATTTAAGTGTTTTTAATCAGTACTTCGTAAACTACAGCCATCATTTCTTGGCCTACTATAATGAATTTCCAAAAACGCCAAAGTGTTAAAGAAAGTATGTGCAATTTGAGTCCAAAAAGAAATTTTTTGGTTGAATCGAATTTTGAACAGAAAGGGTGATTGATTTGACAGAGAAAGATATCAGGTGTGTTACATATTGCCTTGCATGAAGCAACTATTCGATTCCTCAAATCATTCTCATTCTCAATTGGGATAGTATAAACATTATAAACCAATGATTTTAGATGCCTCCAAAGGGGACCGTGAAGCAAGGCATATTTATATGTACTACTCTAAGATTGGTGCCTTTCCAAGGCACGATGTCCCCTATGCGGCCTTCCAGCCACCTGAGGGATGCCACGTCCTCACCTCTAACTATGACTGCATTGACTACCCTGTTATTGAGGGTAACTGGCCTCACGAATTTGGACAGGGACCCCTCTCGAATCCCTTCCATCTCCGCCAGTACCGCCCCCGAAAAACAACCGCTCTTGTCAACGGGTCAGCCATCGTCGCGAAGGTCCCAGTTGCCTGAGCCCTAGGCTTTCTAACTATCTTCTTGACCGAAGAAGGTGTCAGAGCCCGCTCGGCGCTTTTTACCAGTGAGTCCTTTTCTCCCCTCTTTCGGCGTGGGAGTCGCTGATGAAGCCTGCTCTTCAGAGCCTTCTCCCTGTCCCTCTTGGCCTTCTTTTTCTGAGCTCCGCTTCTGCGGTTCCTCTTTAGAGGTATATTAAGAGGCCCCCCCAGCGTCGTCTGCCTTCGACGTCCCATTACTTTCCGATTTCAAGCGCAGGGTGAGCAGAATTCGCGCACTCATCACTCGCCGTGATATATTACATTGATTCGATTATTGTTCTGCTCTGTCCCGCGCTTTCGTGGTCCTTTATTCATACCCGAAAAAATGGTCTAGGTATCAATTGTTATGTTTTTAATATACTCTTTTTATAGAAAAAAATGAGTTCTACATCCAGTCCCCAACAGAAATCGAAAAGGGCGTCGGAAAGATGGCGCGGACCAATGAGTTGGGCATTCACATATAATCAGCGGCAAAAGTTAATACGGGTGTTTGAGAAAAATACATTTCCTAATAAAAGTGAAATGGAACAACTAGCCTGGGAGATGAATGTATCATTCCACAAAAATTAATTTATGGTTCCGCAATATTAGAAAAATAATCAGATCTAGACCTATGCCGTTTTGTGATCGTCTGGTATGACCGTTTTGTCTAATTTTGTTTTATACTGTTTCAAAACTAATAGTTATAACCAGATAAGGGACTAGGCAGTGGCGAACGATACAAGTAATTCACGTAACGGATTGTTACAAATCAGTACGTGATTTTTCAAAATGATTTGAAACAATCCATTACGTGATTTACGTGATTTTGTTATGTAACTTTTTGTCACATGATTTTTTTCAGTAGGATTATCTGCAATTGAATACTAAACAAAATTATAAAGATAATGTTGATTAAAATAAATGACAATTTTATATTTATCAAAATTCAAAATATGAAGAATATTACTTTAAATAAAAGATACATTTTTTAAATAAATGTTCAATAATTAATATCATCTATTATATACATATAAATATTAAACACTTGTACAATATACATTCATATACTATACACTTTGATTTTACTGTAACTTTAGTAACTATGGTTTTTGTGTGTGTTTGTAATATATATTTATACATTACTTACAAGTTTGTAATGTATATTTATACATGTGATTATGTTCCTGATAAATAATATTAATATTTTAAATTGATATTAAATACTACTAATTAATAATATGTTTTATTATATTTTATACGTACATGAAACATTTTTTGTTACTAAGGATGTGCATGTTTTTTTTTGCTTCGCCATCAAAATGTCGAATCCTAATCCTGGTTGTAACAATAAAATTCTTATAATTATTTCATTTCTTTGTCGATTTTCAGAAAATTAATTAGTATCTAGAATCATTGAAAAAGATATTGTAATTGTGATTAAAGCTATATATTATATTAAATAATATAAACCAAAATGGATAACAAAGAAGCGTAAAACATTTATATTGGGTTAGGGAAATTTACATATATGTAAAAGGACCCTTATTTTACAATATCTTCGTTAAAAATTAACGAAATTTGAATTTAAAAAAGGATTTTAAAGTTTAAAATCTCTACATTCAAAAGGTTACTATATTTTTTAATTTCTATGAGTTTGATCATTTTTACATATAAAAAAGTATGAGCTAAAAAAGATAAAAAATTTTCTTTTCACTTTGTGGGTTTTTCATGTGCCTAAAAAAGTTTGCGAAAATTTTTGACTACTTGTCACAAAAGCAAGAAGTTTTCCCTATAAAATCATTTTTCAAAAATGTTCGTACGATTTTTTATTTCTGAGTTATTCGCAATTTTCTTAAATAAAGAAGAGCATTTTGATTTTGATTGCTTATAACTCCGTTAAAAATTATACCACAATTAAAAAAAACAAATTTTTAAAGCTGAAACTTTACTTTATTGATTGATAATTGCAACGAAAATTTCGAAACGAATGATGGATTGGAGTATGTTCCTTTTATATATATGTTTTTTCTCAACACAATATAATTTTTTTTTTCAACAAAAATATATTGTAAGACTTTGTAATATATGTATAAAAATATACACAATTATAATTACTTTTTAATTTTTAATGTGTTCTTTTTAGAGAATAAAGTGCCGCCAGAGATTTATGGATGATCAGCGGAATGAGTTAGTACGCATGTTTGAGGAAAATCCACATCCTAGTAGAAATAAAATAGAAGAACTATCACAGAAGATGAAAATACCATTCCGTCATATTAAATTATGGTTCCACCATATTAGAACAACTATCAGATCTAGGCCTTCATCGATGCTTAATCATCAGCAAGTACGATCAATTTCCTCGTTTTCTTTTACTATTTTAAAACTAATAATTATATAACCCAAGACTAATTGTAAGCTGTACTGAATGTGGTACTTGCCTTATGTAAAAAATTTGAATAGATACACAATTGGCAGTATAAATTTCTATTTTAATTCATATTACTAACGCGTGTGCGCAGTGATTAGACTTATGTTAGTCAGACCAGCTGTTGAGCGCTCGTTTATATGTATTAAATAAAAACGAAACATTATGCAAGGATATAAATATTGATAAAATAACTGACAATTTAATTCGTGGCTATTTCTATATATATATATATATATATACATACTCTGTATAATTCCTTCATATCGTTTTTTAACGTCCTTTTTTTAGATGACATTGCCAAATATTGGCTTAAAATTTTCGGATAACCAACGGGCTGAGTTAATACAGATGTTTGAGAAAAATCCGTATCCTGAAATAGAAGAAATGAAAGAACTAGCCAAGAAGATGGAAGTGTCAACCTATATTATTAAATTATGGTATTGTCGTCTGAGAAAAGAGATTGTCTTTATAAGGTCTTCGATGCTTGAACAGATGGTATGGTTAAATTGTCTGATTTTGTTTTGCTGTGTTTCAAAGCTAATTAAAGTTATAACCAGATCCAAGAGGATGTGGCGAACGAGGCCTGTCGCCTCATGTAAAAAATTCGAAGAGATTTAAAAATAGCAGTATAAAAAATGTTTTAATCGAAATACACTATTCACAAAAAAATTAGAAGACCATTCAATTTCTTGTAAAAAATAAACAAAATTCAGACAGCTGTAACTTCGTTAAAAATAAACAAAATTTGAATTTAAAAAAAGTTTTAAGACTTGAAATCTCTACTTTCGGAAGGTCACTATTTTTTTTTTTAGTTTCTGTGAGTTCAATAATTTTTACACATAGAAAACTACGAACTGAAAGAAATGAAAAATCTTTATCTCACTTTATGGACTTGTCACGTGTCTAAAAAAAACGAAAAGTGTGAATTTTTCCCCACAAAATCGTTTTTTAAAAATGCTTCTACAATTTTTGTTACTAAACTAATGGTTAAGTAAAAAATGAGCACTTTGACTTTAATTGCTCATAACTTCGTAAAAAATCATTGTATTACAATTTTAAAATAAGATTCTTAAAGCTAAAACTTTGCTCTTTTGGTGGTGTTGTTGCCAAAATGTTTTAAGAAACATATAAACATGATACAAATGATTTACAATACCGTACAAATTAGCAATTTTTCCTTTCTTTATTTTTACTGAGAAAAAAATTATATATATCAACAACAAAAATTTATTCTATATATTTTTTTGTGCTTCTAAGTATTCTGCATTTGCAAAAAATTTGCCAAATAGGTATGAGATTTCTTTCGTGGTGGCGGCTACTACATGGTTTTATGACGCAGAACGCACAAAAAATAGGAAAATTGCTTAATTTAAATGATGAAAGAGAAGGACAAAAAATGAAAAGTAAAGTTTGATTAACGTTGAAGTATCAATTTTCGGTGCGTTGCACACACATACACACAACCTCATACAGCACACTTTATTCGAGCAATATTCTAAAACGTTCTTAAAACATATAGTAAAGTTCTCTGAATGTCTTTAGATCGTTACTTGAAGTTATGTGCTATATGCTTTATCACTAATACTGATAAAGCGTAAATCCGACAGTGCAACTTTCTCATGGTACGTGTTGGATAACACTAACACCAGCTGTATTTATTCAAATTTCAGTGAAGAAAATGAATAAATAAACTTATTCGTACCGACACTTAATAAAGATAAGTGTCGATGCATTGGAAATTGATTTTTCAGCGTTAATCAAACTTACTTCTCATTTTTTCCTTTCTTTTTCACTGAAATTAAGTAATTATTTCCTATTGTTTGTACGTTTTGCTTCATAAAACCATAGTGGCTACCATGAAAGAAATCTCATACCTATTCGGTAAATTTTTTGTAAATGTAGAATACTTAGAAGCACAAAAAAACATATAGAATAAATTTTTGTTGTTGATGTATATAATTTTTTTCTCAATAAAAATAAAGAAAGGAAAAATTGCTAATTTTTACGGTATTGTAAATCATTTGTATCATGTTTACATGTTTCTTAAAAAATTTTGGCAACAACACCACCAAAAGAGCAAAGTTTTAGCTTTAAGAATCGTGTTTTAAAATTGTAGTACGATGATTTTTAACGGAGTTATGAGCAATTAAAGTCAATGTGCTCACTTTTTACTTAATCCGTGATAGTTCAGTAACAAAAAATCGTAGAAACATTTATAAAAATCGATTTTATGGAAAAAAACTTCAAGCTTTTATATGAGAAAGTCGCAAATTTTCACTTTTTTTAGACATTTGACAAGCCTACAAATTAAGATAAAGATTTTTCATTTCGTTCAGTACGTAGTTTTCTATGTGTAAAAATTACTAAACTCACAAAAACTAAAAAAAATAGTGACTTTCCGAAAGTAAAGATTTTAAACTTTAAAACTTTTCTTAAATTCATTTGTTTATTTTTAACGAAGTCACAGCTGTTTAAAGGAACAGACTTTGAAAAAAGTAATTAGCTTTGTTACTATTACTTTACCTCCATTATTTTATAACAAGAAAAAATTATGTCATGCTCTAAACATTTAGCCCGCCTTGAGGGTGTAACCACTGAAATAAAGAGTAATTGATAGCGTCAGTAACCAGAGCACGAGTTGCTAATCATTCATCAAATTGTCTTGGCGCGGCGTGACTGACTGATTGCTCTGCTGGGAAATCCAGATAGCACATTTGAGGCTTTCACAAGTATTATCTTCAATTATACCAGGAAGTTTGCGAGTTATCGCCGTGTTCTTCTTTATTCTTGATGTCGACGTTTCGTAAACCATGCCGTTCACTTCATCAGGACGATGCACTGATATTGAGCTGCTACCTCGGGGGACTGTCTTTATGTAAACGCTGTTGAGACGGGGAGGGGAGAAAGTTGAGGAATGAGAGAAGGGTTCTTCTTTGGCCTATTGAAAGGGCAGTCTTCCATATCCTGCTTACATTATAACCTGAGTCTCTGATTAAATTGTCCGGATATGTCTTATTTCCAGAGACTCTCCATGCTTTCTCGGGAAATATGATATTGTTACAGCTATGGCTGCCATTTTTTCGAACAGTATTTGATGTCCTGTCTCAATACTGTGTTCTGCCAGGGCTGATTGTGTGACGTGTTTCAACCTGACATTCCATTGATCTTTCATCCGTGTGCTGACCGTTCTTCCGATTTCACCAATGTACACTTTCCCACAGCAGCAGAGGATCTTGTACACTCCTGCAGACCTGAGTGGGTCTTTTTTTTTTCTTACCTAGTGTCGCCGGTTGGCGACAATAAGTACCTTCAACCTGTTCAGGTTATATGACACATTTATTTAGTTCGAGTAATCAACTCGTAATCAAATTCTTAATTCTCTTAAACTTTCTATCACCAAACCACTAAAGCCTCAACATCTCGATATTATTCTAAAATTTCCCTAATATACTATCTATTTACAACCATGTACCTTAACCTTGGTATCTCTTTTACTCTTCAATTCCCTATTTCACTTTAATATCTATTTATTTTCTTTTTATCAACTATCTCTATTCATCTCTTATACACTCTCATATAATCATCTCACTTTAACCGTGAAAAATCACATATATGGGGAGCAGACGGAATCGAACCCGGATCCACAGATCACGAGTCGATCGTCTATCGCGTGGAATCACACGACTCCCTAACCTGAGTGAGTCTCTGTTCCTAGGGATTTCTCAAGATTTGTTCGATCTTGCTTGGAGGCTTAAAAATGATCTGAACGTTGTGTTTGTTCAAAATGATTTAGTCTGTTGTTCCTTTTATTAGGTATATAAGTTGAAACCTGCCCTTTTTTTGCCAAAATTAAGCCTTTATTTAAAAAATAAATAAAAAGAATTTATCAATCACAGTATTGGTCATCGTTAGATATGACTTTTTCCCATCTTTCTGATAATAAGCGGATCCCACAGCGAAAGAACGATTCATCTTTAGAGGCTATCCAGTTAGAGACCCATTTTTCGTCGCTTTCATAAGAGTTGAAGTGTTTCTCTGCAAGTGCGTGTGCCATTGACCAAAACAAGTGGTAGTCGAAAGGGGCACAGTCTGGTGAATAAGCCGCATGGGGTAGCACTTCCCAGCGAAGTGCTTCTAACGTTTCCTTAACGAGTTTCGTGACATGAGATCGAGCGTTGTCGTGAAGCAAGATCACTTTATGCTGTCTTATCTCATGTTCTGGTCGTTTTTCGCGCAATGCTCGGCTCAACGGATTATTTGTTGTTGGTAGAGATCTCCTGTGACTGTTTCAACAGCTCATGGTACACCCTTCTGGTCCCATAAAGTACAGAGCATAGCCTCCTTCCCATGAATATTCCGTTTTGGCGTCGATGTCGATGGGTTGGCCTGGATCGCAAATGGTTTTTCGGCATTTGGGATTATCGAAATAGATCCACTTTTCATCGCCAGTCACATTTCGATGCAAAAACCCCTTTCTTTTTTGCCTGGCAAGCAGCATTTCGGAGATGGTTTTTCGCCTTTCGATGTCTCTCTCTTTCAATTCATATGGTACCAATCTTTCTACCTTGTATACCTTTCCCATGGCTTTTAAACGCTTGGAAATAGCTGTTTGAGTAACATTCAACGTTTCTGCAAGTTGATTTTGTGTTTAACGTGGATCTTCATCCACCATTGCTTGCAGTTCTGTATCGATGACGTGCTTTATCATTCGTGTCAAAATCGCCAAGTTTGAATCGTCGAAACCATTCCTTGCAAGTTGTTTCAGATAGAGCAAGTTCCTTATAAGCTTCAACAAGCATTCGATGAGATTCAGCAGCAGTTTTCTTCAAATTGAAACAGAAAAGCAAAGCTTCGAGCAAATGATGCTTTTTTGGTTGAAATTCAGACATCTTCTTCGCAGTGAACAACTATGTTGTTATCAACAACAGTACTACTTGTCGCCTTTTTTACTTACGGTGCCATTTTATTTGTTCTATATTTTTTCATTCTATGTTGATTATCATGCATAGATTCTAAAATAAATTTCGTGTCTATATTTATTGCCTTAATTAGAAATATGAGGAATATGGTGCAATAAATTTATTATGATAAGCCCAAATAACATTCATATGTTGCATATAAGATGTCTTTTTAGATATATATATATATATATATATATATATATATATATCTTAGTATGCAACATGCATGTTATTTGGGAGGTGATTTGAAAATTTGTACGTATAAAAACTAATTGTAAGCATTTGTCTTATCTGCAAGTAACGAAAAAGCTGCGATATAGCGTTAAAAGATCGATAACGCCTTGTACGTTTTGTGTCACTATATTTTTAATTATTTAAGAATATAATACATCAAACAAATAATAGAATCTACGCACAAACCAGAGATGGGCACTTTTACGAATAAAGAATAATGAATAAAGAGTGAAGTTTTATTCATAAATAAAGAATAAAATTATATTTAATATTTAAATAAAAATATGTTTGTGATAAGGTTCAATAAATTTAAAAATGGTGTAAAAAAAGGCTACGAGTCAAAAATTCGTTAAAATATAAAATTGTTAGTAAATAAAAATTGTCATTTAATTAAAATTACATAGTTTAATTAGACAACAGACGTTTCGACCTCTATTAAGTTTAAGAATGATATAATCGATTATTATTTCTGTAACATTGATAATGACCTAATAGAGGTTGAAACGTCTGTTGTCTAATTAAACTATGTAATTTTAACTAAATGACAATTTTTATTTACTAAAATTTTATATTTTAACGAATTTTTGGCTCGTAGCCATTTTTCTTTTTCATCATTTTTATATTTAAATAACATTTATATTTATGTATGTGTGTGGGAATGATGTATTCGAATAAATGACATATTGAATAAAAAATTATTTTTTATTTAAGACCTTTACGAATAAATCTGTCTGCAATATTGATTAAGTTAGGCTCACAAATGAGTGGATATTATTTGGAATGGGGATCTTTATTTTTGTACAGTAGCTCGCGAAAAGCTCGTGAAAGACTAATGATAGACTCGTGTTCTAGGAACAATATAATATAAAATAAAACAATGTAAATAACAAATAATGCCAATAACAAATAATGCGAATGACGAATAATGCGAACAACCGATTAGCGAATAATATAAATGAAGAATAATACGAATAACGAATAATGATCAATAATACAATAGCGAATAATACGAATAATAAAATAATATAAATATTAAATAATGCAAATAATAAATAAAGTTCTATTTGAATAATATTCTAAATAAAAAATTATTCGTGCCCAACTCTGGTACAAACGTACGTATTTTAGACCAAGGTGATGTCAAGCGAAATTTGCATATCTGCAAATATAAACGAGCTTACATAATATTATTATGTTATAAAGATCTGGGGAATCACCCACTTTAAAAGTGGATAACAGAAACTGAGAAAAATCACCATAGATCTAACATCCTTGCCAGCAACAAGTTCAATATGTGGGTAATTCTTGTCACGTTGTCTGGGATTTATTGATACTATACGGTGATTAATAGTTTCTAGTAGGAGGTGCTGTCCTCCGCCGCTGATATGACTTATATATAGTCACAGCAGATTCTCAATCGCTCTTCCTTGACAAAAAAACCTTTTGCGCTATCTTCGCAGTTTTACTCGTTTCTAATATGTTATTTTATTTATTATTTGCATTATTTATTTATATTTTATTCCTTATTCGTATTATTTGCCATTGTATTATTGATCATTATTCACTATTCGTATTATTCTTTATTGATTTCGCTACTTAGTTGTTCGCATTATTCGTTATTTGTATTATTCGTTATTAGCATTATTTGTTATTTACATTGTTCTATTTTATATTATATTGTTCTTAGAACACGAGTCTATCATTAGTCTTTCACGAGCTCTTTTCACGAGCTACTGTACAAAAATAAAGATCCCCATTTCAAATAATATCCATTCATTGTCAGTTGATATGAGTCTAACTTACAATTAATCAGTATTGCCGAGATTTATTCATAAATAAAAAATAATTGTTTATTCAAATAAATTTTATTACAGTACTGGTGAGTGAAATTTTATATATTTTTCTATATATTCTATCCTATATTTCTATATATATATATATATATAAAATTTTATTACAGTACTGGTGAGTGAAATTTTATATATTTTTCTATATAATATATATATATTTTTTAATATGACACTGATTATAAAACTGAACACTGAAAATTTTCGCAAATGAAATATAATTATGTTGTAGAGATTAAGGGTCCTATTCTGTAAGCCTTAACAATGTCGTTATAAAACAATTGTCATTAGTGAATTACTTTTTCTATTCTATAAGTACTAACTATCATTCATTAATTATAAAATGGCAACAAATTTGTCGTAAACTTAACAACTAAAAAAGTGTTGTTAAGAGAAATGATATCGTTAAAAGTTGAATCTAACCTATATTATTCATCATCCTACGCGTAATATTTATATAAATGTACTAAAATTTAATAAAACGAATAACTTTATCCAGGAGATATCTTCATTGTATTCTAAGAGATATCTCCTAGATAAAAGTTATCTAGAGATGAAGAAATTGAGCATGATTATAAGTCATTTGGACTTTAACAATATGCTTACAGGATAACTTTTACAAATTGTCATCAAGTGATTGTTAAGAATACAGTCATTACCATAGAGATATCATTTAATAATGATAAGTTACAGAATAGATCCCTAACACATTCAAGTAAATGCAAATTTGTCGTTTGGAAATAGAACAAATTTTACTAGCGGCCTCGTTAGCTCTGAAGAGGCTGTCCTGACGGTGACGGCACGTGTATGTCCTGGTCAGGAAGAGCTGTGATATGCGCAAGTGGCCATTTGGTAGGTTGCATGATCTTACTCCTGAAAAGGCACATCTGCCTGATTCTTGACTCCGCATTTTCTGGATGAGATGCCAGCATGACAGGTTGTTTGCAGGAGCGTCAGTCGGTGCATGTTCAGGGACGGCTAGCAAAGCTGATCCGACAAGATCTTAGTCTTATAGTCTTGGTAAAATGGCCCCGACTACAATCTGAGTCGATACGGCCAATATTGATCCGACAAGGAAGTGTCAATGTTGCAAAGTCCTCTGAATCGTTGTTCATTGGGTGAAGTGACCATGAGGCATGCATTTGAGAGAGAAATGTCGCCATTTCCTCGAATGTAAGCGTTGCATCTCCAATCACTCTTCTAAAATGGTGCTTGAGTGAGATTTAACTGCTGTCTCCCACAGTCCTCCAAAGTGCGGCGTCGCGGATGGATTGAACCGCCATTGAATGCGTTACATAAGGTTCCGGAAGATCGCCTATGATCTGTGTGGTGTCGCCGCCCGTTATCGCACACATCATCGACATTGATGATTCTTCACAGAGCAAGGCACCCAAAATCTCTGTCTGAACAGAGCAAGCGTTTGCTGCACACCTCCGTGTAGTGTTTTCGAATAACAAGAGTTGACTATGATTCTGGTAAGTGTTGAATCCTTCGGTAGAATGATAGGATGTTTCTTATCATACGCCAGAAGTGCGTGTTTGATTTGACTTTCAACACGGAGGATATCTCATGCTGATTCATAAAGGGATTTAACTTAATAATGAATCCCTGCTGTTTAGAGGTCTGTTCTTCAGTACTACTTGAATCTCTTCCTTGTAGGTAATATCCTGCCGTCCAGATTCATTCCATGAGTGCCAGGTCCACCTCCTCCGCAGTCAGCGTCCCAAGATCTTTTGACATCCCAATGAGAAGTGACAATGGAATCGACGTCGATTTCATTGTCATTTTTCACTAGGACTTTGCCGTGTTCGCCACGCCGAGATCTGCCTCCTTCGGTGAGAGGATCGTCGCAACATGAGTCTTGCTCCTCTGTTCCGGTAGCTCCTGCTCAGGTATGTCTGACCACTGCGTCGAACCACCTGAGAGCCATGAGAGCCTTTGCCATCACAGGTCGTGCTGTGCGAGGACACTCGGTGATATTCAGCGCAATCCGCCGAAATTTTTTTTTTTAGTTGACAAAAATAAAAGGGAATATATAGTCGTTAGGAACGAGTCTAACAATAAGATAAGGGCTACACCACATAAGCTTAATATCACTAACACGAATTCAAAAATACATTTTTATTGCTGAGATGGATGTAAGATCTCCCTCTTAATCACACACAAAGCACACGCTCTTAACACAAAATCTAGTTTAATACCCGGACATTTGTACGGATTCTCCTATTTAGTGGAGAGCACATACGGGACACCGTTAGCACCCCAAGCCGACACCCGAGGTGATCCCCCGCACCACGACAAGGTCGCATCTCACGCAGAGGATTCGCTGAATTGTCCTGTCCTGAGACATGGTACTACCGTGCGTTGTCTGTATCTCCGCCACTCGATCAACCACGAGTGTCTTCCATCCCGAAGGATGACCTTGAATCGAGGTAATGATACTTGCTTCAATGGTGCCATCTTCGTCTTGGCGATCACCAGCTTTGAATGCCACTTGTTTTTTTTTTCCAGGTTCGCAGGTACAATAAGGAGTAAAAATAAGCTTGTACTTCGGTGTACATACATACATACGTTGGTGTATGTGTGTGATGAGCGCGACGACACCTGCAGGCGGTGCGCTCATCGAGACTAACGTATGTATACATGTACACTAAAGTACAAACTCATTTTTGCTCCTCATTGTACACCGCTGAGCCATACACTTGTTCAGAGGCCATCTGTCGGCGTCGAGATTGTTCACCGGAGGATTCCAGTCGAGTCCGTTCAGGAACCAATCACAAGAGTGTTCCAGTAGATTCAATTATATCCACCCCTGTAAACAGGGAGTCGAATCTGTATCTTGAAACAAAGTGAAAATTATAAAAGTGAGCGAATTTAATAAAGTATTTATAATTTTATTGGTCAGTACCTAGTAAATTTGCTTACTTTTGTAATTTTCGCTTTGTTTCAAGATACAGAATCGATCCCCAGGTGCACTGAATGAAGATTTTTGCTCGCACTATTACCGGGGTCAGCCACCCTAACGGATCAAATTATGGATAGAGCTGTGCAGACGATAGAACGCTTCGTGACGACCCTTCGTTCGAGTGGATGGTTGAAGAATATGCAGAATGTCACTGCAATCACAGGATAAAATGACCTTTGCCTTGTTGCCAGCCTGGAGGATCTTACTGAACGCGATGAATTCTCCTCTCAAATGCTGAGAAGGAGAGGCTTATCGTTGGCGATTTATTTCTTCAAAGGAAAGCCGCCCGCCGTGCGAAACTCCAGGAGTTGTCCTTAGGAGAATATATACACTGGTTCTAACTCAGGTCTTCCGAGGGGAGGAAGGGGCAGAGGTTACTGCGGCGCGGGGGATGGTCACGGATGCAGGCGAAGGGTATGACGTCTCTAGGCAAGGGGTATGACCTCACAGGAGTGGAGAGGGATATGACATCATAGACGAGAGGTATGACGTCACGGAGAAAGCGATATCCGCGGAGTATTACGTCATGTGGGGACAGTGATTATTGGGCGCGGAGTCTGTTGGGCGCGGTCCACCACCATCGCCGCTGCGCTATATTTGCCATGTATACTTACCATTTCTTTTTCTCTTATGCTATCTTCTGTACCACTTCTTATCGCGGTTTTCTCGCATGCAAATGTTTATTTTTCTTTGAATATTAAATAGAACCGTACATGAGAGAACGCATTTTATTTTTATTTTATAATTTAAAGATTGCTTAATAATAAGATTGTGATGATACTGTCGCAAGCGGATGTCGGCACGCGATGATGCTATTGGCGCATAATGTGATACCGCAGGAAGGTAGGATAGCGCAAAGAAGAAAGGAAGGAAACAAATAATTGTGCGGACACAAACTTAATCTATTTATTCATTTATTATTTTTTTTTTTCATGTAATTAATTAATCTATTTATTCATTAATTTTTTATATAAATAATTATTTAATTATTTAATGAGCGTGATCTTCTAACATGAGCTCGATATCGCCGTCGAACTCTGTCGGCACGTGTGTTATACGATTCCGCGAAGAAGAAGGAAGGAAACAAATAATTGCGAACACTAAGATATAAACTCTTTTAATTTTATTTATTTATTACATTTTTTTTTTCAAAATATAAAAGTATTTAATTAAATGAAATAATGAGACATATGAAAAGTTATATATATATACAATCAAACAACTATCTTGCTTCAGCAGTTCGCGTTCCACTCGCTCGTGGTTTTCCATGTCTTTTATTTCATCCTTTTTTAGATAATGTCACACTCTTCTACGGAGCAAGTTATTTGTTCACATGCGTTGCATGAATATCGTTCTATATCTGTAATGACATAGCGGTCTAGTACCGCACTATTGTATACACTATACTTGAGAAAGAAGATACAATTTTCGCACTCATAGCATCTATCATCGCACGCGTTAAGTTTTTCTTGTAATAGGATGTTTCTCTCTCTCACACGACTGCAAGTTTGCACAAATATATTGTCCCTATTATCATCAATTCGCCGCATTTCTCACTATATCTATCTGCAGAAATCGTTATGCATCTGCTGTAACGCTCGAGCTTATACTCGATTTTTCTCACCCAACAATAGTCGTCGTCTGTTACATGGAAATTTCTATTTTCACAACCATCATTCTTACATTCGTCTCATAACCGCGTATACACTATTTGTCGCGCGTGCAAAGATCATAAGCGGGCTCTTTGTTAATGATTACCCGTTTCACAATGCGCTCACCGTGTATTTATTACCGAGAACGTATTTCACGTCTTCTATAAGATCATTGTTACATCCTGTACCTTCCTCCAACATAAAGTCAACTAGCTCGTCAGCGTATTCCATGTTTTGTTTTTTCAACATGTGCAGAGTGGACATACGTTACATGGATGAACCGTATACATGAGCTGTCTGCAATTAGAGCAAGGTTACTTAACTCATCGAAGAAAATCGTTACTTTCAATGGAGTAGGTGACTGCACCAATCGTTCGGTATCCGCTCGTTTTTCGATGAACGCTATCCACGTAGCATGCGGCAGGATGATGCAATTGCCTCGAATGTCGCCAATCACAATTTCTACTTAAGACATTAGTCCTACGGCGACCTTGATCTCCAAAAATTCGTACACTGTTGGTGTCAGCGCAAATGTTCATCCCATGATATTACATGTGCTGCAATGAAGGATAAATAAGTGATATATATATATATAGACAAGATGTTTTCACAGATACAATTGAAATACTTATAGTTCATGTTAAACGTCAGAATCCGTGTTGAAATCTTTAAAGCGACTCTGATGCAGTCTGTATATATCACTTATTTATCCTTCATTGCAGCGCATGTAACATCATGGGGTAAACATTTGCGCTGACTAGGGTACTATATTATACAGGAATATGCATCCGCCATATTGGCTCCTAGTCACACTGAGAAAAAAGATAGTTGACTCAACTAAATTGGCGGTCACGGGCTATCAAGCAAATATTTTGTTAGTCGAAATATGTATTAATTTGAGTCAAATACGCAGTATAGTACATTGAACAATGACTTATTTATTTCGACAGGACATATCTTTGAATTAACAAAATATTTGCTTGACAGCCCGTGATCGCCAATTTAGTTGAGTCAACTACTTTTTTTTCTCAGTGCAGTGCAGGAAGATTCGAGCTAAGCAAAGATGCCGTACTGCCAGTACTGAAAATCTATAATATACTATAAATTTTCAGTACACTGGCAGTGTATACGAAACGCGGTCGTAGAATTAAGTGCAATAAATAAAACGGGCGGTTGTAGTGCATTAAATTGTAAGATTAGGAGTGAAGCCGGGTTTCAAACTTTCCAATTTGTAACAGAAGCAGAAAGAAGAAAAAAGTGATTAATAAACTGTCGACGTGACAACTGGATACCTTCTTCGAATTCAAGATTATGCGAGGTAAGTACTTATATTTATCACTAAACATTTATTTCAATTATTTAGAGCAAAAGATGAGAAATGGAAAATTGAGGTTAAAAACCTTTTCATTCATCACAAAATGTTTCAAAGATATTTTAGAATGTTTCTAAAAGAATGCAACTTTCCTGACATCCTTCATAAAAACTTTTCTGAAACATTCAGAAAAGTTTTTATGAAGGATGTCAGGAAAGTTGTATTCTTTTAGAAACATTCTAAAATGTATATATAAATATATATACATATACCCTCAAATTTTGATAAAAATATACTCAATCGATGCGTTCTCGCGTAAAACTAAAGATTTGACAACAACAAAAAACGTTGCTTTGCCTTATGAATCAAAATATTAATCGTTAAAGTCAATGGCTATTCAAGTTAGGAAATCTGTCACAGCAATGGTTCACTGCTATAAGAACACAAATCTTCTGCATTAAAAACAAATACTTTGCTAAAACAGTAAGTTTATGTTTTAAAAACAATGAATCACTGCTGTTACAGATTTCCTAATTTAAATAGTTGTCGACTTTAATGATTATTATCTCAGTTCACAGGGACTGAGAACGACGCTTCTTTTTCTTCTTTACAAATCTTTATTTTTACGCGAAAACGCATCGATTGAATGCATTTTTATCAAAACTTAAGATGGCCGAAATCTTCTTAACATTTACCATAATCTTATACTTTTAGGTTTATCATTGAATTAGCAGAATCGTGTATTTAAGATCGACGATTTTGCCAGGAGCCAATATAGCGGATGCATATTCCCACCTAATATATATAGTACCTTAGCGCTGACACCAACAGCGTACAAATTTCTGGAGATCGAGATCGCCGTGGGATCAATGTCTTTTCATAAAAATTGAGATTAACGACACCCGAGGCAATCGCGTCATCCTGCTGCATGCTACATGGAAGGCGTTCATTGAAAAACGAGCGGATACCGAACGATTGGTGCAGTCACCTACTTCATCGAAACTAACGATTTTCCTCGATGAGTTAAACAACCAGTCTTCCTCCAATTACAGACAGCTCATGTATACGATGCATCCATGTAACGTATGTCCACTCTACAAATGTCGAAAGAACCAAAATATGGAATACACTGACAAGATAATTGACTTTATACTGGAGGTATAGGATGTAACAACAATCTTATGCGTGGTCTACAATGAGCAGTAGCAGTAGTTGATTAAGGAGTAGGCGTAGAAATCAACAAATCATAGTCGAATGTGAGGAGGACAATTAACTATCATTGGTCGATTTCTACGCCTATTCCTTAATCCACTACTGCTACTGCCCATTGTAGACCACGCATTATAGAAGACGTGAAATACGTTCTCGGTAATTCGCAGAGAAGAGACAATGGTGCGAATATCGGTGCAGTTACTTCGTGATCGATAAATACACGGTGAGCGCGTTGTGAAACAGGTAATCATTAACAAAGAGCCTGCTTATGATTGGTCCTTGCACGCGCGATAAATAGTACACGCGGTTTTGAGGCGAATGTAAGAATGATGGTTGTAAAAATAGAAATTTCCGTGCAAAAGATGATTATGGTTGAGTGAGGAAAATCGAGTATAAGCTCGAGCATTACTGCAGATGCATAACGATTTTCGCAGATAGCGAGAAATGTGTCGAATTGGTGATAATAGAGACAACATATTTGTGCAAACTTACAATCGTGTGAAGCATCCTATTATTAAAAAGCTACTTGATGCGTACGATGATAGATATTATGAGTGCAAAAAGTGTATCTTCTTCGAGTACAATAGTGCGGTGCTAGAGTATAATAGTGAATTGCTAAAGCAGTGCAGGTTATTTGATTTTATTTGTATATATAACTTTTTATATGTCTCACTATTTCTTTTAATTAAATATTTTTATATTTTGAAAAAAGAAAAAAATGTAATAACTAAATAAAAAGTAAGATTAAAAGAGTTTACATCTCAGTGTCCGCAATTATTTGTTTCCTTCCTTCTTCGCGGTATCGTATAACACACGTGCCGACAGAGTTCGACGGCGATATCGAGATCATGTTAGAAGATCACGCTTTTTAAATAATTAAATAATAATTTATATAAAAAAATTAATGAATAAATAGATTAATTAATTACACGAAAAAAAAAAATAATAAATGAATAAATAGATTAAGTCTGTGTCCGCACAATTATTTGTTTCCTTCCTTCTTTCTTCGCGCTAACCTATCTTCTTGCGGTATCACATTACACGCATATATGTAATACTCCTATATTGCTAGTAGAGGTCCGACGGCGGTGCCAATATCACGGTGCCGACATAATATTGAGTATTACATATATGATTACACGCCGACAGCATCATCGCGTACCGACATCCGCCTGCGACAATATCATTGCAATCTTATTATTAAGCAATTTTTAAATAAAAATAAAACGTGTTCTCTCATGTACGGTCGTATTTAATATTTAAAAAAAATTAATATTTACATGCGAGAAAACCACGATAAGGAGTGGTATAGAAGATAGCAACGCATGAGAGAAAAAGAAATGGCAAGTATGGCGGCAACGGCGGCGGCGGCGCGGCGGCGCAGCGGCGGCGACAGCGGTGGCGGCGAAGCTGATAGTAGCAGCAGCGGTGGCGGCGGCAGCGGTGGCGGATCGTGCTCAACGGACTCCGCGCCCGGTAATCACTGACCCCGCGTGACGTAATAGGTTTGTTCGCGTCGCACGCTCTAACATGCTCCAATATGCTCCTATCATAGCTCTTACTCTCTCCAACGTGCTCGTTGAAGTGAGCAAGAGCTATGGTAGGAGCATATTGGAGCATGTTGGAGCGTGCGACGCGAACAAACCTAATACGTCGCTTATGTATCGCGAACCCGCAATACGCCGCGACATCGTTTCCTCCGTGAAGTCATATTCCTC